GCCTGTGGAGCCCCTGGAGGAGGGCGTGGCAACCCACTCCAGTATTCATGCCTGGAGAATCCCTCGGGCAGAGGAGCCTGGCGGGCCACAGTCCACGGGGTCACAAAGAGTCGGACATGACTCACACGACTCAGCATGTGTGCATGGCCTGTGGAGATGCCCGTTGGTGCTGGCTTGTCTGCGGGAGGTGGTGGCACAGGCCTTCCCCGCAGTCTGGCCTTGCACGGCTCCCTTTGTTCCAGAAGCTGGACGGGGCCCTGGGTGGGTCGCGCCCCCATGCCCATGATGCCCATTGTCCACCTTCTCACCCGCCTGCCGTTGCCCAGGAGGTGGCCTAATTAGATCCCCGAGAGGAGTGTTTACCAGGCCCGAGTTTCCGAGGACTCACTCAGCTAGCTCCTCTCTCTCCCTGCCTGGCTCAGCCAGGCTTTCTGTGCCTGGAAGGGCAGGTTGGTGCTGGGGGTGAAAGGCCCCGTGGTGTGTGTGTGTGTGAGCACACGCACATGTGGGTGGGGGTGCACTCGTGCACATCCTGGCCACCCACAGCTCTGTCCTGGGGCTGCGCTGGGGGGATGGAGCGGCTGTGGGGAGGTGCCTTGGCCCCTTGGAGTTTGGGTTTCTTAGCCTGGCTGTCCTGGTGCCCTGGGGCTGGCACCCGGCCACAGAGACAGGCAGTGTTGGGAATAGTTTTGGCAACTGGTTCAGTCCCTGGGAGCTGCAGCTTCTGGAAGGAGCTCTGCAGGGAAGCCTCTCCCCGTTGACTGAAACCATGAGGCGGGGCCGAGGGTCCTGGTTTGGGAGCTGGCAGACCTGGACTTGAGTCCCGGCCCTTCTGCCAGCCAGCTCCAGCTGTGTGATTTTAGGCAAGCCGCTCGGCCTCTCGGGGATCGGTTTCGCATCTGTAACCCCCGGACCTGACAGGTCATGAAGGTGAGGGGGGAGATGTGTGTGTAGGCTCCTGGTGTGACTGTTACAGCTGTTTCCCGTGCGCCCTGGAGCGGGGCCTTCTCAGGGCAGGGGCCTCGTCTTGCTTTGGAGCGGGGCCTTCTCAGGGCAGGGCCTTGCCTTGCTTTGTGACTGCTTCAGCACAGGGCTCGTTAGTACTCACACATGCCTCTGCTGGAGCAGAGGCCAGTGACTGTCGATTTAGAGGTGGCAAACTGCTGGGCTGTGCCACGCGAGCGTTAGGAACTTCTTTTTTCCTGAACTAGAGTTGATTTACAGTGCTGTGCCAACCTCTGTTGTACAGCAGAGTGACAGTTATACACATATAGACATTCTTTTTTAAAATATTCTTTTCTATTATGGTTTATCCCAGGAGATATAGTTTCCCTCTGCTATACAGTAGGACCTGGTTGTTTATTCATTCTAAATATAATAGTTTGCATCTACTAACCCCAAACTCTGAGTCCCTCTGTCTCCCTCCCCCTGCCTCCTGGGAAACCACAAGTGTATTCTCCATGTCTCTGAGTCTGTTTTGTAGGTAGGTTCATTTGTGTCATATTTTAGATTTCACATGGAAGTGACATCATATGGTATTTGTCATTCTTTTTCACGGCCGAGTAGTATTCTGTTGTATGTATGTACAGCATCTTCTTTATTCATCTGTTGATGCATATTTAGGTTGTTTGCCTGTTTTTGTTGTCTTGTTGTTTAGTCTCTTTTGGCTATTGATACCACACAAATTTTAAAAATTAGCTATCAGCATTTGAAGACCGGTATTTCATGTAGAAATCAGATTTGTAGCTTGTCCAGGCACTTTGAACACTTTGGCAGCCCTGGCTCAACCCCCTCAGGGTTGCCTGGGTTAAAGAGATGGCTGCCAAGGCTTGTGGACACCGCCTGGGCCCAGGAGGAACAGACGGGCCTGGACCTCTGGCAAAGAGCCCCTTCTTCTGCCTCCAAGTATGTGGTTTTTCTGTTTTGTACCTAGGACTTGAGGAACAGGAGCTCCCAGATGGAATAATGCGTCAGGTGGCTCCTGATTCAAGGTGGCCCCAGGTTACTCAAGGCAGCTGGTGCTCGTTGGGGGTCTTCACTTAGGACGCTGAGATTCTGGGTGACCTGCTCTTCTATCTTTGGAGTCTCTGGACTGACGTTCCTTTGCAGCTTCCACCAGCGGCCACTTGCACCCCTTGTGACTGCCCCGAGCCTTCCCGCGTCTTGCTGCCTCCCTGCCCTCTGCTGCCTGCCTTGCCCTGGTTGCTGTCCCTGAGGCCTGGAGGCTCTCGGGGGCCTGGACTCCCAGTTTACTCCCTTGACGCAAGATTCCTGTTGAGAGCATGGCAGCCGCCCCAGGCTCCAATGGCTGAATCTAGGAATTGCACATTTTCGGGTACCTTTCTCTCCCTGGAGACTGGGAGCCCTAGGGGAGAGAAAGCCAGCCTGGCACACAGGAGATACAGTGGGCCTGGTGTGCCATAGGCATGATTAGCAAGCCTTTTGGGAATAAACTAGCGAGTAAATATATGAGTGGTGCTGGAGAAAGAGGGAGACCCTCTGGGCTGAGCATTGCAGGCCTGGGGTCTGCTCTCAACTTTGTCACTATGGGTCCACTATGTTCTGCTCTGAGGTTCAGTTTTCTTTTCTATGAAGTGGAACTTGCTAGCTTGTCAATGGGTCCTGTTAGAAAAATTCAGTCTTATGTGGAAACTTAACTTAATGCAAGGGGGATGCTCTGAGTGAAGCTGGTGTTCGGGTCTAAGACTCACTGAAAAGCTGCAGTAATCGAGTGAGTGAGGTCTTCACACAAGAACTGTTAGAGAAGAAGAAATCCTGCAGACAGACTTCACATGTGTGGCCACCTGACTTGGGACAAAAGTGGCTCCACTGACACTTGTGAGGGAAGAATGTGGCTTCACTTAAGGCCAGTGGGGTAATCAGATGCCCTTTCAGAAAAAGGAGCTTGACCCCCACATCATACTGTACCCAAAAATTCCATGAGATGGATCAGAGCCCTACATGTAGTCAACCTGCTAGAGCAGTGCTTTCCAGGAGAAGCTTCTGGATGCTAGAGGGGCTGCATATCTGCACGGCCCTATGTGATAACCACGAGCTGTGTGTGGCCGTTGAGCACTTGAAATGTGACTGGCGTGACTGAGGGACTAACTCTTTTTCTGACTTTAAACATGTTTTTAATGTAATTATCATGCTATTGTGGTGTTGTGCTCAATTGTTCAGTTGTGTCCGACTCTTTGCGACCCTGTGGACTGTAGTACACTGGCCTCCTCTGTCCATGGGGATTCTCCAGGCAAGAATATTGGAGTGGGTCGCCATGCCCTCCTCTCATGCTATTGTTATGCTCAAAAAATTAAGTGTAATTTACTAACCTAGTCCCACCTTCTGCTCCCATTTATCTACTTGGGTGCTGTGTCTTCCTTGCTGCACGGGTTTTCTCTGGCTGCAGCGAGTAGCAGCTACTCTCTAGTTTGGTGAGCGGGCTTCTCATTGCTCTGGAGCAGGGGCTCTAGGGAGCTCAGGCTCAGTAGTTGTGGTGCTTGGGTTTAGTTGCTCTGTGGCACGTGGGATCTTCCCAGGTTAGGCATCAAACCTGTGACCCCTGCATTGGCAGGTGGATTCTTAACCACTGGACCACCAGGGAAGTCCCAGTTCCCATATAGATTTCACCACTTGTTTTAAGACAGCTTTTTGTAGTTGCACATTTAAAAAAATATTTATTTATTTGGCTGGGTCAGATCTTAGTTGCAGCATGTGGGATCTTGTTCCCTGACCAGGGAACAAACTGGGACGCCCTGCATTGGGAGTGTGCATTCTTGGCCACTGGACCACCAGGGAAGTCCCTGCAGTTGTAGTTTTTTAAAATCAAGGTCTAGATAGAGTCCACTATATTGCATTGGGTTTCTAAGATTTTGGGCTTCCCTGGTGGCTTAGTCGGTAAAGAATCTGCCTGCAGTGTAGGAGACCCAGGTTCAATCCCTCGGTAGGGAAGGTCCCCTGGAGAAGGGAATGGCAACCCACTCCAGTATTCTTGCCTGGAGAATTCCATGGACAGAGGAGCCTGGCAGGTCCATGGGGTTGCAAAGAGTCAGACACGACTGAGCAAGTGACACTTTTTTTGTTTTTTGTAAGATTTTAAAATTTATTTTATTGTGTAACATCCCCACTTTCTCTCATGTCACTGACTGGTTAATAGTGGGTTATTTGTCCTATAGGTCAGTAGTTTTCAAAGTGTGGACCAGCAGCTTCACCATCTCCTGGGAACATGTAAGAAATGCCCATTTCTTCTCAGACCTCATCTGGTCCTGCTGAAACAGCACTGGGAATGCAGCCCAGCGATTTGTGTTTTAACACATCCTCCAGGATCTCCCCTGGGTACCCCTGCTGTTGTGACTAGCCCGCTTCATAGATTTGGCTGATTGTGACCTGCTGTTGCCATTTACCTTAGCCTCTATATGGGACTGAATTTTTCATTTCATTAAAAAGTGTTTTATTTATTTATTTTGGCTGCATCGGGTCTTCTGTAGTTGGGGCGAGCTGGGGCTGCTCTTCGTTGCAGTGTGTGGCCTCCCACCACCGAGCACGGGCTCTCAATGCGCCACTTCAGTAGTTGTGGCATGTGGGCTCAGTAGCTGTGTCTCCAGGGCTCTAGAGTGCGGGCTCGGTAGTTGTGGCTCATAGGCTCGGCTGCTCCGTGGCACATGGAAGCTTCCCAGACCAAGGATTGAAGCCGTGTCCGCTGCCTTGGCAGGTGGACTCTTTACCAGTGGACCACCAAGGAAGTCCTAATTTCATTTTTAATTAAATTTAATTTTTGACAGTGATGTGTGGCTGGTGGCTACTGTATTGGACAGCGCAGTTCTAAGAAATACAGGAAACTAGCTTTATGACCTTGGGATGGGCCAGGCTTTAAACAAGACCTGAAAGTTAGGTTTGGGCTAAGGTCGATAATCACACTTGGGTGTGAGTCCTGACCTCATTCTCCCCCGATGCCCAGCCTCCCCAGTCCAGGTCAAATCTCGGTCTGCTTTTTGTCTCTGCAGAGCTGAGGACCCCGAGTGACCGCTCAGCTGGACCTGAATGCAGAGGCGGATGCTGGCGGTGCAGTGAGCACGGCCTGGCAGCGGGAGCAGTGCAGACCCCGTGTGCCCATGGAGCTGCCAGCCGAGGGGGTACCTCCCCAGCCCCACCTGCCAGGCTGGGAGAGGCCAGAGGCCTAGGCGCGCAGCCGTGGGTGTTGGCAGACAAATGCTCCCCAGGCCGTGGGGTTTCCTGCCTGGACCGCTGGGTGGGTGTGCCAAGGCGGAGGATGCCAGCCAAGGGGCGCTACTTCCTCAACGAGGGCGAGGAGGGCCCTGACCAGGATGCGCTCTACGAGAAGTACCGCCTCACCAGCCAGCACGGGCCACTCCTGCTCATGCTCCTGTTGGTGGCCATCGCTGCCTGCACCACTCTCATCATCATCACCTTCAGCTATGGGGTGAGTGGGGGCAGCCCGTGGGCGCTAGGGGCTTCTCTGGGGTCCAGGTCTCAGCTCTGATGTTCTGTACTTGTGAGGCCTTGGGCACGTCAGTATCTTCTTTAAGGCTGAGTTTCTGCATCTGTAAAGTGTTATGGAGCATATTTAGGCTGGAGGAAGACACATTTTTTAATTTTAATTTTTAGGTCTGGGGTGGTTTTAGATGGTACGTTAATTTGGGCAAGTGAATGACCGTCACTTTTCTCCACAATGGACTTTGATTCTATTGAAGACCTGGGTCAGGGAGGGCTGGCGTGTCCCTGCTCTCACTTCTGGTATCAAGGCAGACATCATGAATCAATCCCAGCACTCATGCTCAGGGAGCCTGGCCGTGGTCTCAGAGTCCTTCTCAGCACAGCTGTCCAGGCTGACACCACAGCCATGACCTGTGTGTGGCTGTTGAGCACTTGAAATAGGGCTAACATGTCTAAAGAACAGAATTGTCTATTTTGTTTCATTTTCATTTATTTTTATGCTCTGGCTGCGGCATGTGAGATCTTAGTGCCCCAGCCAGGGATCGAACCTGAGCTCCCTGCTGTGGAAGTGCAGAGTCTTAGCCACTGGACAACCGGGGAAGTCCCTTAAATTTCTTTTAAATTGGTGGAAGTTTAATTTTGAATAGCCACAAGTGGCTAGTGGTTGCTGTATAGGACGATAAAGTTCTAGGAGAAAAAAGACTAAAGGGACTAAAGGGTATTAATAGAGCGGTATGAATGAGGTAAGGTGGCCAGCACTGAGTAGGTGCTCCGTCAGTGCTGTCTGTGTCTCTGTGGGTCTCAGGGACGTTTGTTCGGTCACTTGGCAGCTAGCTACGGAGTACCCCTGTGGGCCTGCTCCCGGATCAGTCTGTGCTCGTCTTGCTTAGGGGCCCCAGGGGGCCCTTGGTCATCATTTCCCCTTAAAGATCCTTTCGCTCTTTTAAGAGTTAGGAGCAGTGGCCCCTCCACCCCCCGCCCCCCGAGGCTTTCCGCAGTTGTGCTTCTGTGTGCTTACACCTGTGCCCTGCAGGGGTGTGCAGAGCCCCTGGGGCCCCTGGGGGCGGGGCGGGCGGGCGCTGGGGGGAGACGGCACCCCCAGCCGAGGCAACAGCACCAAGCCTGAAGTGACACAGAGCCTGATGTCTAGAGGGAGGGAGGGCACCGCCCACGAGGAGGGAGCCGCTGGTGACCTCGCTGAGGCAAGCTGGCCAGGCTAACCTGGCAGGCTTCCTGGAGGAAGTGACACCCTGCTGGATAGCTGTGGCATTTCTGTGCGTGTCTGCCCCACCCAGGACCCCTCCAGACACCGGGCCGTCCTGGGGACGGCGTTCTTCACACTCGCTGTGTTTGTGGTCCTCTATGCCCTGGTGTACGTTGAGTGCCTCGACCGGCGGGGGCTCAGGGTCTCGGCGCTGCTCACCTGGGCCTGCCTTGTGATGCTGGGCTACGTGCTGGTGTTTGATTTTGACTTGCCGAGGAAGGACATCTCTGCCTTGGAGCAGGTAAGAGGGCAGGGGACCCTGGCGCCCCTGGGGGTTGGGTGCGCTTGGCAGCTCCTGCACTCCCTGGGCCTCAGGTCCGGCTTGGAGGCTGATCTGCATTGGGTGTACCGGCCACGGGCCCTCCCCTCTCTCCGGGCTGTGGTTCTGTGACTGAGAATGGGCCCTGGGCTGGTCTTGTTCTCTCTGCTCTGCACTGAGATGGGGGCGAGGTGGGAGGAGGGTCCACCTGAATGTCTAGCCACAGCGTTTCTGGAAATGACACATCTCCGATCAAAGAGGCAAGAGGCCCGAACTGGCTCAGGTGGCAGGAAAGGCCCGGGTCAGTCTGGGGCTTCAGCAGGCTGGCCAGATCCTGTTTCCTCCCAGCTCTGCTCCCGTCAGGCCATCCCAGCTCAGCACACAGACGGCTGCAGCGCCTCCAGGCTGCCGTCCACCAGCCTGCTCCAGCCAGTTGAAAGAGGGAGCCCTTCCTCAGCTAGCTTGAGTCACACTGGCTGGCCTGGGTCATGCGCCTAGCCGTGGACGGTCACTGTCATCAGGGGTTGGCCCCAATCTGACCACTGGGGCTGGGGTCATGGAAGCCATGCATGGAAGCGTGGGAATGGGCGCTGCTCCCCGAAGGGCAGGAGCAGGCAGGCCAGCTCTGAGAGTAGACGGGGTGGGTGGGCCCGCGCCGCTGGAGGGGGCAGGCTAATGGGCCCTGCCCAGCCTTCCCGTAGTTACTATTTTTGCAGAGGAAGAGCTGGGGGCAGCCGGCACCAGGCAAGGGCTCCCTAGGCCCCAAGGGCAGTGGGGCTCAGGCTCGGTAGGCTTGGCCTTGACCCCAGACCCTGAATCAGCTTGTGGGACATGATGCTGGCTGGGTGGGTTTTTTACTTTTTCCTATTTGCATGTGTCTGCTGCTGCTGCTCACCACACAAGGTGGGGGAAGGGGCCAGCCTGAGGGCAGGGGGCACCAGGATCCTGGACTGGCCGCTGAAGACTCAGCATTCAGGCTTCTGGGGCCCCATCAGCAGAGCAAAGCTGGGTGGGGGTGGCAGGGCGGCTGCGCTCACAGCACGCTGTGTGCAGGCGCCCTTCTTTCTGTTCGTGGTCTTCGTGGTGTACACGCTGCTGCCCTTCAGCACGTTGGGGGCTGTCGTGGCCGGACTCGTCTCCAGCACCTCCCACCTCCTGGTGCTCGCCAGTCTGATGGAAGCCTTCACCAACCCCAGTGTCCGTGTGGGGCTGCAGGTGAGGGGCATGGGCCTTTGGGCGTGGGGCCGGCTAAGCCTCAGGTGGGGCTGTGGTTCGGCCTGAGGGCAGCTGAGGCTGGCGTGGGTGAGTTGGAGGCCTTGGAGACTGTTTGCTGACAGGCGGCCTCCAGGCCAGGCTTTATCCCAGTCAGCAGGTGCCCTGCCCTGCAGCCTTTGCTTTGCTGGCCTGGGGTACCCCAGGGTTCAGCCTCTCCCTCCAGCCCTGATCCTTGGGGTCCTTCCTGGGTCCACTGCACTGTGCTGGGTGAGACCCTGTTCAGAGGTTTCACCTTCTCACGTCGGAGCCCCACGGGACAGGGTTGGACACCCTGTCTTGTCTTCGTGTTGAGGGGTTATGAATGGTCAGTGGGGATGGACAGTTGTGTTTTCGGTCTGGGAGGCGAAGGCCAGAGCTCTGGGCAGCCAGCCAGGCGCCGTGCCTTCTGTGACTGTCCTTGGCGCTCCCCTGGGCTCTGTGAGGAGACATGCTCCTGCCTCTGTTTTAGTGGCGCTGGGTCCTGAGCCCTCCACACTAGGGGATGTCTGGAGGATGCAGACACAGGCCTGAGTCCCGTCCTGCGGTCACAGCAACTCACTTGGGATCCAGGCCCTGTCTGGGCCTCAGTTTCCCTGCCTGCACCCCCTGGGAGGCCAGGGATCGGGGAGAGGGTCTCAGCACCAGCCCGTCAAGGGGGCCAGTGTCCTGGGTGCATGGGCCAGGCCTAATGCCGAGCCCACTGTGGCCCACCCCCAGCTGCTGGCCACTGCGGTGGTCTTCCTGTGCGGGAACCTCATGGGCGCCTTCCACAAGCACCACATGCAGGACGCCTCCCACGACCTCTTCACCTACACCGTGAAGTGCATCCAGATTCGGCGTAAGCTGCGCATCGAGAAGCGCCAACAGGTGGGACCCGCCGCCCCTCGTCCCCCTGCCGTCCCCCAGGCCCCACGCCCTGTGTCCTTTTTCTGATGATGTGCTCGGTGTGTACGCGGGGCACCTGACCGGACACCCGTGCCGGTGTCCCCTGGGGGGCTGCCGGGCCACGGGAGGTGTGTGCCCGCGGGTTGGTGCAGGATGTGCACCAGCTGCTGGGGGGCATGGCGTGGAGAGGATGGAGGCCTGATGCCGCCCTGCCCGTGCCCGTGTGCCAGGAGAACCTCCTGCTGTCCGTGCTGCCTGCCCACATCTCCATGGGCATGAAGCTGGCCATCATCGAGCGGCTCAAGGAGCGTGGGGACCGCCGTTACCTGCCCGACAACAACTTCCACAACCTCTACGTCAAGAGGCACCAGAATGTTAGGTCAGTTTCCTGGGGAGGGAAGGGCCTACCCTCCTACCTGGAGGCCCAGGAGACTCCCCCAGACTGGGGAGAGGTAAATCCAGGCCTCTCCCCGGGCCTCAGTCTCCCCACTTGCTCCCCCAGAGAGTGAGGTTGGATTGCATGGGTACTGGAGGAAATCCTCTCTCCCCTAAAATGGTCAGACTCTGCACGGATGTGACTGCAGGGAAGGAAGGGGTCATTTGCAGGTGATTCTCCACGGGGCACAGGATCCCCTCAAAGGAGGCGAAGACCCCCTCAGGTGACTGCTAGTGGCCCCCCAGCCCTGACACCTGATCTTGACAGACTTAAAGGGCCTGCAGAATCTTAGTTGACGGCACTGCCCTGAGTGATGTGTGGATGCGGGTGCCGTGAGCTCCACTCCAGCCCTCTGCCTGTAGCTCAGCTTTCCCCCCGAGGCTGCCTGTGGCCTCTGTCTGGGCTGTGGATGGTCCAGAACCACAGGCTCAGGAGCCGGGAGGTCTGGTGCAAAATGCAGCTCTGGCTTCCCAGCGTGTCTTCACCTCCTTGGGCCTCAGTTTGCTCATCTGCAGAATGGGGGTTCTATGAGGGCAGTGTGAGGATGAGAGGTGTGAAGGTGCTGGGCATGGAGCTTGGCTGGGGGGAGCGTGCAGTCACTTCTTTGTCATTGTTCAGTCGCTCAGTCATGTCCGACTCTTTGAAACCCCGTGGACTGCAGCACACCAGGCTTCCCTGTCCTTCACTATCTTCTGGAGCTTGCTCAAACTCCTGCCATTGAGTCGGTGATGCCATCCAACCATCTCATCCTCTGTTGCCCCTTCTTCTCCTGCCCTCAGTCTTTCCCAGCATCAGGGTCTTTTCCAGTGAGTCAGCTCTTTGCATCAGGTGGCCAAAGTATTGGAGCTTCAGCTTCAGCATAATTCCTTCATGAGTAGTCAGGATTGATTTCCTTTAGGATTGCCTGGTTTGATCTTCTTCCTGTCCAAGGGACTCTCAAGAGTAGTTGTATCTTACCAAGGTTTTAGTTCTGAAGTCTGGTGAAACCAGGAGTGGGGAGGGTGAGAAGTTCCCAGGGGCCCAAGAATCTGCCCGTGATGGTACAGTTGAGTCATCTGTGGTGAGGGCTTTAGAGGGGCCAGGGGTTCCAGAGGGCCCTGCAGACTGGCTCTGGCATGAAGCCTCTGGAACTTTAATTTGTCTTTATGACAGGGAGCTTCTCTCCCATTGCTATGGAGGCGGAGGGCTTGCAGGAGTGACAGAGTACAGGGCTGGCAGATATTCAGGGGCTTTTAGCCCTGACCCTTCTCCCACCCCACCCCCAGCATCCTCTATGCTGACATCGTGGGCTTCACGCGGCTGGCCAGTGACTGCTCCCCCAAAGAGCTGGTGGTGGTGCTGAATGAGCTCTTCGGCAAGTTTGACCAGATCGCCAAGGTGAGCGTGCTGCCTCCGTTCTTCTGACAGTGAAGTCAGGAACGCCTCCCGCCGCACCCACGGGGTGTCCTGTGTCCAGTGCTGTTTGCAGACGTACACAGGGAGGCCTGGGTTGAATTTCGGCATCCAGTCAGCAAATGCTTCCGAGTGCCCCGTGGTTGGAGTGGAGGCTGAGCCAAGAGCCCGTCCCCCAGAGTGGGTCAGTACACGCTGGGGAAGGCACTGGGCTTCCTGAGCTCAGAGGAGGGCTGCCTGGAGGAGCAGGTGGTCTGTTCTCACGACGCGAGGGCGGCAGCCTCTGGGGAATGCTGGGCCTTACCCGGAATCTGCCTTTTGACAGTATCCTGGGTGAAGAGCCTGCACGTTGAAGTCTGAGAAACCTAAAGAGAAACTCGAAGAGGAAAGGGAGCAGTGTCATGGGCAGAGGGAACCAAATGTGCAAAAGCCTAGAGTAGAGATAGCCCTGTGTGCCCACGTGTGGAAAGCGGCTCCGTGTCAGTGGGACAGTGTGTTCAGGGGGGCGCCTGGTCACAGGGTCACACATGCAGGGACTTGACAGCTGATGTGAGCAGTGGGCCTTGGCCGGAGGACCCCTGAGGACCCTTAGGAGGTGCCAAGCCGGGAGAGTGTTGGGCAAGGGGAGTCTCCAGGATACAGACAAGGCAGGAGGGGTCTGGAGATGGAACAGGGCTGAGCCGGGACCTCACTGTTTTATCTTCGTGAGTAGCTCCCGGTGTGTATGTTTGCGGGGAGAGGGCTTGTGGTGGAGCCTCAGTTCTTCATTAATTTAGCACATGGTCTAAGATCAGCTGAGGGTCAGCCCTGGGCTTGCGTGGGGCCTCTGGCTCCCCTCAAGTAGCTCCCGGTCTGCATGCTGCCTGGTTGGAAGAGGGTCACAGGGGGTGCGACTGGGGAGTGCCTAGCCCAGCCTCAGGTGGTCAGGAAGGCTTCCTGGAAGTGGTGGCCACCGTGTAGAGACTCAAGTATAAGATTTAGGGCAGTGGCTCTCCATCCTGGCTATGTGTTTGAATCACCTGGAAAGTTTAAATGAAACACCAATACCCATGCCCACACTCTTGGCAATTTTAAGAGCCTCCTGGGTGACTCCATGGGCAGAGAATCAGTGGTTTAGAGTTTGATGGGAGGCAAGTTCTGGCCCCACACTAGGAAGAGCTGCTCATTCTTGGGAGAGACTGCCCCACCAGGAGTGGGCAGTGGGTGCCATCTTGGGGGATGAGCTTCCCATCACAGGAGGTAATCAAGCTGCTGTTGGCCACCACTGGCCAGGGGTGCCCTGGAGAACTGTCTCCCTGGGTCCTGTTGAATGAGTGACTCTGAGGGCCTGTCTAGCTGGGAGCCTTTCTTCAGGAGCTTCCTTCTTTCATGATTTTCCCTGAACCAGCAGGTGGGGTTTCCCAGAGGTTGGAGGCCACATCTGGCTCTTTCCCTGCCACAAAGCCAAGGCCTTGCACTTGCCTTCTTGGGCACAGCCCGCCCTCTGTGGCAGGCCCATGACGGAGCCCCACAGTACAGATGAGAAGAGGGAGGCCGCGGCAGGGGCCAGTCTTCAGGCCAGAGCGTCCAGTCCCTGGGCAGATGCAGCAGGCAGGGCTGGCTCCAGCCTCTTGTCCCCATGGCCACCAGATCCCAGAACGGTAACCTTCCGGTGAGAGCCAGGCCTGCTCTCAGGGGTTTCTGCGTTGCCTCTGGTCTCAGCCACTTCCTCCCGCAGTGCACTGACCCAGCTCCTCCAGTTGTAAGTGTGAGGCAGTGGGAGGAGCAGCCGGGGGAGTGTGGCCTCCTGACAGGGGAGCTGGATCCAGACTGGGATCCTGCGCCTGGCCTTGGAGGAGATAAGGGTGTCCTGGCCCTCGCCAAGCTCTGCTTTCTAGGAAAGCGGTGTCCTCACCCGGCTCCACAGGCCGTGCAGAGCTCAGCGTGTGCCAGCCGGGGCAGCCCAGCGGGAAGCAGCAGGCTCACACGCAGAGGGGTCCTTGGAGGGTGGGCTTAGGAAGAGGACTGTTCACAAAGGCCTGGCAGGTAGGGTACCCCAAGGGAGGGGTGGTGCCTGGCCTGGTCATGGGTGCTGGGTCAACCCCCCAGGCCTGGGGGGTGTGCCAGGGAGTGGGCAGCGGGTCTGGAGATGGAGGGTATCCTGGTTCCAGGAGCCAGCTCTTTGGGACCCTGCAGGAGGGAGCTGGGGCCGGGCTTCCTGGTGGGGTCTCTGTAAATAAAGCATGCAGTTGGGGTGCAGCTCCTCCTTCCTGTTCTCCCGCCCGCCAACCCCAGGCCTTGGTATGTGTGGCCCGCTTTGCTCAGGGCTTCTGGGGGTCAAATGGCTGCAGCGCCACCTCGGATGGGCCCTCAGACAGCCTGCCTGGCCCCCCTTCCCCTCCGAGAGCATTCTCCTCCATGACACCGCCTTCTCTCCCCACGCCCATCTTTGCTCTCTGCTCTCTGCCCACTCCTCAGACCCTGTGTCTCTGGTGGCATAGCTATCTCCTTGGTTACCTTTGACACCTACTGACCCTGAAGCTTATGGCTGCTGTTGCCTCTCTGTTCTCACCCCCTCCACTTCCTCCGCACAGACTGTTGTGCTGTGTCTCCAACAGCTTCGTGGCCTCAGGGCCTTTGCACAGTCTGCTTCCCTCTGCCCGGGATGCTCTTCCTCCAGCTCCCGACAGGGCTTGCTCCCTCGGTGCCTTTGGGACATTTTTTAAAATTACTTTCACTGGAAGGCCTTCTCTGGACTCCTGGAAGCTTCCTCTTCCTCCTCATTCCTCATTTTTTTCCCATAGCACTTAACATTATGGGTGTCTATCCATTTTATTTATCTAGTGTCCAGCCCTACCTCTGGCTGCAGGATTGTTTTCTGTTTTGCTCACTGCTGTGTCCCAGTGTCTGGGGCAGGGCAGGGGACTCATTAGAAGCTCAAACAGTGCATGGGTGAATGAAACCAAAGGTAGTGGCTCCCTAGAGGCACTTAGGTGGCCGCCCTTCATAACACTTGATTTCATCCTTGACACCTGCTTAGGGTTCCTCCTACAGAGCTCCTGCGTCCCCAGTCCTTTTGCCAGGCCCAGAAGCAGCTGCTGGTGTTTGATGCCCCGGGGGAAAAAGCCTCTGGCCAGAAAAGAGCCTGGCTGACTCTGGAGGGTGTGGGGAGGTGGCTTACAGGCCTGCTCCCTGGCATCTGTGGACCAGGCCTCTCCCTTGCCTTGCAGGCCAACGAGTGCATGCGGATTAAGATCCTGGGCGACTGCTACTACTGCGTGTCCGGCTTGCCCGTGTCCCTGCCCAACCACGCCCGCAACTGTGTGAAGATGGGGCTGGACATGTGTGAGGCCATCAAGTAGGTAACACAGGCAGGTCCAGGGCCCGGGGGGTCTGTCTTCACAACAGACCCTTCCTGCTCCCCAAGGCATGCTGGGGAACACATTGTCCTCACTTTGCAGATGAGGAGACTGAGGCTGCAAGGGTGCAGGAGGCTTACCTGGACCACTCAGCAGTGTGTTTACATCCCTCCCTCTGGGCCCCACTGGGACTACGAGGAGCAGAGAACCCCCGGAGTGAGGATGGTTGGGGAACTCTGTTTCTCCAGAGACAGTCTTTGCAGAGGCAGGGGAGGTGGCCAACAAGGGTCTGACTCCAGGCCTCCATCTGCTTCCTGCTCCCCCTGTGAAGACCCTGGGAGCTGGGGAACTAGCCCTCAGCTGCAGGGAGACCCCCTGCCTCCCACGACTCCTTCCCACCAACATTTAGCTCCCCACGAGGTTCTCTGGAGCCCAGGGCAGCTGTGGTCTGTGGTCAGGCAGGTGGTGGAGGGCCAGGCAGGCCTGGCCACCCCAGCCAGTGCTCAGGACAGAGCAGGGTGCAGCTGGGCTGCCTGGAAAGTGCACAGCCCCTGTGAAAACCCAGCTCCAGCTTGTCTTCCTCCTGAAGTCTCACCAGACAAACCACTGCCCGGGAGTCAGGGGTCCAGGTCACAGCCTGGCTGTGCGTCACCGCCTGAGTGGTCTCAGGCTGGTGCTGCGCTCTCGGGGCTCACTTCCCTCCCTGGAGAATGTGGATGTTGTGTGGGGGCCCCCTGCTTCCTCTGGTTTTGACCCAGTAGGCTGGGTCCGTCTCTAGCCCATTGGTGGGCTCATGGCACTGGCTGCTCCCTGGTCCCTCCCCCACTTGTCAGAGGGACCCCAGAGGCCCTGTTCATGTTGGGGATGCCTTGTGCCCTGGGGAAGCCTAAGTTGGGGCTCCTTGTACTGAGCGGGGCTGCAGTCCTCAGTGCTCCCATTTCCCAGAGGTGGGGGCGTGTAAGGCCCCCCAAGGCTGTCCCCATGGTCTTTGTCTCTGCTGGGTTTGGGTGGTGCCCGGATCCTTCTGCAGACACCAGCTGGGGCTGCCGGGCAGGGGGAACACCCAGTGATAGACTCTTAAGGCCTTCCCCACGAGCCATGGTGACCGGTGACAATTGCATTTCTTCCTTTTTTTAGTAGCCTTTGAACACGGGGGTGACCACATCCATTTGCACACTCCTGGGGATGGGGGCACTCACCCCCTTTCAAGGAGGCAGCCCCTCAGGCTGAGAAGCTTCTGTCCTGTGAGCTCGGCCTGCCCTGTCCCCACATGGTGCTCACTCCCCGGACAGGGACCTTGAGCCTTTCCTAGGGTTTAGGGCCCCTCTGGAGCCCTGGCTGAGGTGGGGTGACCGGCCTCTGCCCCAGGCAGGTGCGGGAGGCCACAGGCGTGGACATCAGCATGCGTGTGGGCATCCACTCGGGGAACGTGCTGTGCGGTGTCATCGGGCTGCGCAAGTGGCAGTACGACGTGTGGTCCCACGACGTGTCCCTGGCCAACAGGATGGAGGCAGCCGGAGTCCCCGGGTGAGGCTCAGCTGGCCGGTGGGCGGGTCAGAGGTCAGGGGGCGGACTGTGGGCCGATGTGGGGGAGGGTCAGCCTGGGCTCAGAGAGGGAGATCCGGGACCCCGAAGTGAGGGGGCACTCGCCTGGACTCCGGTCTGCTTGGCCCTGTCTGCTGTGCACCCCCCGGGCGGGTACCCCCCACCCTCTCTGGAGGCCCTGCTGCTGTCTGACTCTGGTCTCCCCCAGCCGGGTGCACATCACAGAGGCGACGCTGAAGCACCTGGACAAGGCGTACGAGGTGGAGGACGGGCATGGGCAGCAGCGGGACCCGTACCTCAAAGAGATGAACATCCGCACCTACCTGGTCATCGACCCCCGGGTACGAGGCTCAGCTGCGGCGGGGCGGGGGTGGGTACCGTGCAGGAGCCAGGGTCCACACCTGGGGAGCGGTGCCCAAGGAGAGAGCGGCGGGAGGGGGGAGCGTCCCGTCACCAGGTATGTTTTAGGCCCCAGGTGACATCTTCTCTGGGCCTCAGTGTTCTTTTCTGTGAAATGGGAATGGCAACAGAGCTTAGCTCAGGAGGAGAAAAAGCCAGTCTGAGTGAAGCCTTCACCATGAGCTGGGTGCATCGTCAACAGTCTCCCAACTAGCTCTAGTGACATTCTAGTCACTATTAGTTTATTTTCCACGAGGCTGTCACTAATCTTCCAGATTTTCAAGGCACATTTACAAAACACGCCTTGGATGGGAGTCAGGGGAAGCAAGGGTCGGCCAAGGGGCTGCTAGGCAGGAGGAGTGTCCGTGTGTCTGACCCGCGTGTCCACCTGCCCCGCTGGTGCCTCTGTGTTCCCTGTGGGCCCCTCTTTCTTCAGGACCCCCGTGGCGGGGCAGGGTGGGAGGCGGCGGGGCCTCTTTCAGACGCTCGGCCCTGGTCCTGCCCCCAGCCCACCCGCGTCTGCAGGGGCCATTCTTTCCCGCCCGAGGGAGGCCAGCTCGTCTGGCCGTCCTCGGTGAGTCATCCTTGGGGCTTGCTCAAGAATGTCGGCCCGGGCCGGCTCTCTGGGCTCCCTCTCACTCTGGCCTTGGCTGTCCTCAGGGCTCACCCGGCTGCCAGTCTCCAGGGGGGCTGAGGGCCAATCTCTGAACTCCTCACCCCCTCGGGCTTCATCCTGCCGGCATTCCCAGGGCACCCTCGGTGGGCCAGCAACTCTGAGTTGGCATCCGGGGAAACCCCGCCTGGGTACCCTGGGGCTGCTCCTGGCCCACCATGGGGGAACCCACCCGGCCCCTCACCCGGCAGCTCTGGGCCCCGCCCACCCGAGCCCCGCCCACTATGAGCCCCGCCCACCCGGGCCCCGCCCACTCCTCCGACCGACCCCCCCCCTTTCCTCCCCAGCCCTGTGCCAGCCCCCGTCCCTCCACGCCAGGCTCTTACCATGGCAGGACCCAGGTCACTGCTGCTCCCTCCGCCCAGAGCCCTCTTCCCTCCGTCCCAAGTGCTCCCGTTCATCCTTTACTGTTAATTGTCCGTGTGAGCTCCATGTGGGTAGGCTCGGGCGGGGATCCCTCTTCTCCGGGCTGCAGCCCTGGGTCCTTGAACAGCGCCTGGCATGGAGCTGGGGCCCAGACAGCTGGTGAATGAATGAAGCAGAGCCCTCGAGCTCAAGGCGGTGGTAGGCGTGGCCCCAAAACCAACCCCTCAGGGCTGCCGGGTCAGCAGGTACAACCACGGATGCCCAGTCTGAGTCGCGTTCCAGATGAACGAAGGAGATTTTTAGTACGAGCGTCTCATGCAGGGTTAATTGGGCTTTCTGTAATTTACCTGGCAACCCTACCTTCCCCCATCATTGTTTAATTTTACTCATTCATGTAGTCAAAAATTGAGAAGAATGAGGGGTGTGTTGTAGACAAGTTTTCCACGCATCCCTGTCTAGAGCCGGCACGTCCCCTCTAGAGGGGACCCGTGTGGTGAGCGTGTTCCTTCCAGAGGTGTCTATGTGGGTAAGTAGACGGAAGAGCTCTGCCCTCCGAGGAGCGCGCCCTCCACCCACCTCCCCACCACCAGTGCAAACCTTGTAGTGTAGCTTGGAGACCTTCCCTTCTGTGCACAGAGACCGCCGGCATCTCTTCTCGGGACTGCAGCACACACCACATGGATGCTTGGGCTCCCCTCCCATCATGGACGGGAGGCCCATTCCCAGCTCTGGCTTCTGCGGGCCCGTGTGTGTGAGGCCCCCCAGGATGCATGTCCAGAGGCGGCTGGAGGGGCCGTGAACCCTCCTCGGGCCCTGCTTGTGAGCAGGCGCATTTCTCCTCAGAACTGACGGACCTTCAGTTCACATTGAACTTTCAGGGACAGTGTCTGGCATCCTTGCCCTAAGGGAGAAAGTGAGAAGGTGCCAGTGACCTTGAACTTGAAGAGCTGAGTGCCCTGTTGGCAGGGCTGCTGACAGTGAAGGGGGAGGCACAGAAATGTGACTGTCCCCCACCCACCTGACTTCCAGAGCAGGTCAGTCACTGCAGGGCAGCGCTCGCTCTCCGCACCCTGGGACTTTTCTCACAAGGACAGAACCCTGTGACATTTCCTCTGGCCAGGCAGACAGACATGGCTCAGGGGTTAAGAATGTTTCTGTCCCAGAAGGAGGCAAGAAGCTTCCAGGAAAGTTGCTGCTTGTGGCTTGACAAGCGTTTGGGGCTGTAGGTGCTTGTCCATGTGGGTGTTTGCGGGAACCCCTGCAGCCCGGGACTCCTGGACGGCGGGAGCGTTGGTGGGGGGGAGAGGACTCAAGATGGCTCCAGCTTGTCCCTGGTGGCCTTTCGCATGGTCCCAGGCGGGTTGTTGTTCCAGGCTGGGGGAAGGTGGGCCCCTCGCTCAGGGCCTGGCCGAGCCACCGCGTCCTTGGCATGGACACAGAGGGCGTGTGGCGGATGGTGGACCCGTGCCGGGGTCTGAGGGCAGTATGAGTGGAACTGTCTGGAGCGCTGCCCCGTGGGGGTGTGGGCTCAGCCCTGGGCTGGCCATCACTGCGGGCTGCCGGCCAGCACTCCCCTTCCTCCCGCTGCTGCCAGGGGACGACATGTGCCAGCCACATGAGGGTGGGCAAGGCAGGATGCCTGTGGCTTCCCTGGGCGCCATCTCCCTGGGGTACCTCCGCTGGGAGGGGCCGATGGGCTTTCACGGGCCAAGCGGGGCCTTTGGGCTTGGGACCTTAACCCACTTCTTGCCCTGGGGAGGCGGAGGTGGGGCTGAGGGGCTGTGAACAGTTGTGGTTGGGGCAGGGTGAGGTCCCTGAGCTGGGGCCTCTTTGGAGCCTAGCCAGGGAGCGCACTGGGCTTCCGCCAGTCCCAGAGGGGCTGCAGCCCCAGCAGTTCGCTTTGTCGTTTTCCCTTTTCTCCAGATGGACCAGCGCTCTGGGCAGCATCCCATTTCTTGGGGAGCAGGGTGTGGGTGGGGGCCCCTTCCTGGGCTGAGAAGGGAGGGACGGGACAGGCTGTGTCTGTGTCTGCCCTCAGAGCCAGCAGCCGCCCCAGCCCAGCCAGCACAACCCCAAGAACAAGGGGGACGCGGCCCTGAAGATGCGGGCATCTGTGCGAATGACGCGCTACCTGGAGTCCTGGGGGGCGGCTCGCCCCTTCGCGCACCTCAACCAACGCGAGAGCGTGAGCAGCAGTGAGACCCTTGTGTCCCACGGGCGGAGGCCCAAGGTAGGACCCTCCTCCCCAGGGAGCTGGGAGGTGGGGCCCCGGGAAAGGGCAGGGGGGCCCACGTTAAGGGGTCCTTCTGTCTGAGCCTGGCTCTCTGCATGGGCAGGATGGTTCTGGGCTCTGCCCTGCCTGCCTCCCTCTCTCCTGGGGCCCTTGGGGAAGTGAGGGCATTTGGAGAATGCTCCAGGGGGCTGGGGATGTCTCTGGCCTTCTGCTTCCCCAGACCAAGTTCAGCTTCAGTCCCGGGAGCCTGCGGCCTGGATGGTCTGTGCACCCGAGGGTGCCCGAGGTGACAGACCCAGCCCCAAGACCTGCACCAGGCCCATGTCCTCGAGAATAACCTTCGCCTCCTTTCCCTTCCAGGCTGTTCCCCTGCGGCGCCACCGGACCCCTGACAGGTTTGTGCCCTGTCCCCTGCTTTCCTGGCCAAGTCCTGCCCTAGTCACCTCCTCCAGGCAGGCTGCCCTGATCAGCCTCTGTCCTGAACGGCAGCTCCACAAGGCTCAGCCTTGACTGCGGATTTCACCCTAGCTTGGGTCAGAGTGTTTCTAGGAACCAGAACTTCACAGTGATTGAGTGCTTGCTGTATACTCACTCTGTGGTGGGGTCATTGGGGTTGGTGTGAGGGATACCTGGGGTTTAGTGGAAGAGACTTTGGGCCACTGCTGGGTGATGCTGTGTGATGCTGGGCCTTCACTTGCCCTCTCTGGGCCTTAGTGGGTCCAGCCTGACCCTCCTCCATCCTGCATGAGGCTCTGGGACCTCCTGCGGGCACCTGGGAACCCCACTTTGGGTGAGTCATCTCATCCACCCCTCTGCCTCTGGGCGAGTGGATGTAGGTCCCCAGGCTGATGCCGCTGTGGGTGTCTGATTCCAGAAGCACGTCCTCCAAGGGGCGCTCAGAGGATGACTCATACGATGATGAAATGTTGTCAGCCATCGAGGGGCTCAGCTCTACCAGGTGAGGCTCTTGAGACCCCCGCCTCCCTCAAGCAGGGACCATCTTCCTTGTGCCTCATGCCCAGGGGCTGTGTCCACCGTGTGGCCATCTGAGGGTGGGCCCCTGGGCTCCGCCCCAGCCCCCTCTCCCCTGAGGGTGGCCCCTGTCACCCCGCCCCGACTCCTCCAGGCTTCACCTCTTCCTGCTGTGTCTCTGCCCCACAGACCCTGCTGCTCCAAGTCTGATGACTTCTCCACCTTTGGGTCCATCTTCCTGGAGAAGGGCTTCGAGCGAGAGGTGAGGACCTCAGAGCAGCCCCAGGAAGGGGGCTCCAAGGTCTGGGGGTGGGGGACAGGGGCAGCCAACACCCCCAGAAGATCTGCTCTGGGAACGTGTTGGGGAATCATCCAGCTGCCACCAGGGAGGTGTCAGGAGTCCATCCAGCCTGCTGAGGTCTCTGTTGGTCTCACCACTCTGCCTGCCATACCCGGGAGTGGTTCGCCTACTGGGGTTTGGGAGGCTTTGCTCCCTACTTGCCAGACCTCACACAGTGGCTTACAGTGTTGACCTTTTTAGGAAAAAGCCCCAAACTTAGTATGGTTTGATGGGGCCCAACTGGTCCCTGCATCCGGCTGCTGTAATACCATGCTGTGTCCTGCTAGTGACCTTTTCTATTTTTTTTAAATTTGGCTGTGCCGTTCTTAGTTGTGGAATGAAGCATCTTTAGTTTTTTGTTGAGGCATGCGAGATCTTTAGTTGTGGCATATGGGATCTAGTTCCCTGACCAAGGATTGAACCCTGGTCCCCTGCATTGGGAAACAGAGTCTTAGCCACTGGACCACCAGGGAAGTCCCCATTCACTTATCTATTGAGGGCCTATGGGTTCTAGCAGCATCCAAGGCCCACACATGGTCATTCCACGCTCACCTGCTGGCCGAGGTGGGTGCTAATACCCTTTTCACAGACTCTGAGGTTTGGAGCATCTTGGCCTCAGGTGTGACCTGAGAGGGCGGCCCAGCCCGTAGTGCCCTGGTGCTGGGACCTCTCTGCCATTTTAGCCTCCAGGGTCTCTTGGGGTCTCCCTGCGCCGGGAGCTTGGGGCCTGAAGGCAGGTGCGGTCACCAGGAGAGCCGTCTGGTGGCCTCCTGCTGCTGCAAGACCCAGACAGGCTGCCTGCTCCCTGAGCCTCAGTTTGCTAACCTTCTGCAGGAGCCCCACGGGCAGAGATCTGCCTGGTGTGGAGGGGCGGGCAGCACGGGGCCCCCCACCCAAGGGCTCAGGGCTCAGGCCTGGTTGTGCTTCTCAGTTTGGAGTGAGAACAGACCCACCAGTAGTCCCTGTCACAGCAACCCTGGAGCTCACTTGGGCTATGGGATTTTCAGGGACCTGGGAAATAAAGTCAGAGACCCAAGCCGGGTAGGGGAAGAGAAGGGATTGCCTCTGAACATAAAAGAGAATCTGCAAAACGGAAACAAATGAGAATGGTTTGTTCACGATGATGTAACAGCAGCATGGTGAAGTCAAGGAGGTGGTGTAAGGGTGTTTTTTTAAAAAGATGATTAACTGGAGCCAGGGTGGAGCTGGGAAGGGGTCAGGGCACGTGGCTCTGTGGGTGGGGCCTTGGCTGCCCGACCGCCCCTCACAGTCTCTGTCGCCCCCAGTACCGCCTGGCGCCCATCCCCCGGGTCCGCTACTACTTCGCTTGTGCCAGCCTCGTCTTCGTCTGCATCCTGCTCGTACACGTCTTGCTGTTGTCCAGGTCAGTCGGGGGCCGGGCCGGATGGTCAGGCCCACCAGGGTCAGGCGAGGAGGGCTGGGGACCCTGCAGATCCCATTAGAACACCTGTGAGAAGGGGCTGGCCGTGAGTAACTTGAGGCACTTTAGACCTCCGAGGTGCAGAAACCAGCCTGGGTGCAGTGGTCCCCATACCTGGAGCTGCCAACGTTCAGTTTTTAGTTTTTTTAAAAAAATTATTTATTTTAATTGGAGGCTAATTACTTTACAATATTGTGGTGGTTTTTGCCACACACTGACATGAATCAGCCACGGCAGTTTTTCGTTTTAATTGAAGGTGCTTGCTCTCTCAAGCCGCAGGCCTCCCCGCTCCCACATGCCTCCCTCCTCCACAGTCCCCGGTTATCTGTGTGGCCCTGCAGGCATTTCAGTTGCCCTAGGTGTCTGGAGTTGTAGAAGGGCCACGTCCTGAAATTGTGACTGGCACCGTCTGCCTCTTAGGTGTGGGAAATTGCGGCTCCGGGGTGGAGGGCGGGGCTCTGTTGGTGGGAGCAGGGGCGGGGACAGGGGGCTGAGGCCACAGGGGGCGAGTCAGGTCTGCCCCTTGGCGGCCCCTGGAAGGGTGCTCAGGCCAAAGGCTCCACTAGGACTGTGGCTCAGGATGTGCTTAAGAAAGATGAAGTAAGGAGCACGTTTGGGTGTGCTTATGTGCTTGCTGGCCAGGAGTGTAAAGGCTGTGTAACCACTTATTCCTTGTGTACTGGGCCCAGAAATGGGGGCGCATTTGATCCTGGACTTGTGTGTTGTTTGTGGGGCAGCTAGACCTCGGTCTGCAGAGTCCCCCTTTGGCTGGGGTGCTGGGGGTGGGGAACATGCCCCGGGCAGAGGGTCCCCTCAAACTTAGGTTTTTCCTTCTCCAGGACGAAGACTCTGGCCGTGTCCTTTGGGCTGGTGGCCTGCATGCTGGGGCTGGTGCTCGTCTTGTGCTTCGCCGATGAGTTCTTGGTGAGCGGTTGGGCAGTTCCTGATGGAGCGCCGGCAGGGCCCAGCAGGTGTCAGGGCGGTGGTGGGATAAACCCCGGCCCTAAGCCCAGGCCCCTCCCCACGAGCTCTGCACCCCAGCCTGGAGGACAGTGCTGAGTGCCTTGAAGGCTCCTCCCAGGATTCTCTTTCCTAGGTGCTAGTGGTCCCCACGAGGCCATGGCTGTCCGAGCCCCAAGGGTGGGGATGTCCCTTCCGTCGGCTCAGCACATGTGTTCCGAGCTCCAGGCTAGACAGAGGCACAGCACCCCTGATACCCGCTCGGAGCTCTCAGAAGCGCTCACTCTGCGCTTGGGCTGTGGGCCCCCTCCCCGGCCTGGCCCGGCCCCTCTGGGTGCTGTGGGTGCTCTGTGATGACACTGTGATTCCACAGAGGTGCTGCCCGGCCCGGGGGATGCTGCGAGCCATCGCTGAGAGCGTGGAGACGCAGCCCTTGCTTCGGGTGTCCCTGGCCATCCTGACCATCGGCAGCCTGCTGGTCATCGCCGTCATCAACCTGGTGGGTGCCGGGGCCAGGGCTGGTGGGCCTGGCCAGCACCCCTTGGGCTGAGCACACTTCTGGGGAGGAGGGAGCCAGTCTTCGACCCTGGGAACCTTTAGGCTCTAGAATCTCATAATCCTGTTGCCTAAAAGCAGCATCCGGTGTGGCCACATCCACAGCCTGGTGGGCCGGGCCTGTGGCAACCCCTGTGGCGCCTCCGAGCTCTTAAGCCTGCACTGGTCACACGAGGACTCGGGGCCCCCAGAGCGCTCACCTGGCCACTGCAGTGTCCTTGACGTCCCAGTCTTTCTCCAGCTCCCGAGGAGGTCCTGACTCTGCCTCTCGGAGACCCCAGTCTCCTCACTGGGGTCAAGCTGCCCTGGGCATGCGCTGGGGGGCACGCAGGCCCCCCTTGGTGGGTTGGCTCACATGCTTCGTGCTCAGATGGCACTCGTCCTGGCCGGTCCTGCCTGTCCCCACATCTAGAGTCGGCATCTCCCCCGGCGACCTCCATGTCCCCTGCACTTGGGACTCTGTGACCGCCTCCCTCAGCATCACACGGGGAGAAGGGGACTCACTGAAAATGTCACTCCCAGCTTCTCCCCGAGTCAGCCCCCCGGGGCTCTGGAGCAGGATCCACGTGCCTTGCTTTGACTCCCGTCCCCTGCAGAGGAGCTGCGGCTGCGGTGGGAGGTCGGGATGTCGTGCCCCTGGGCTGGGCTTAGAGCTGCGCCTGGCAGGAGATGCTCACTGTGCCCGCGGAGCCCCGGGCCCTGCCCTCTGCCCCCAGCCCTGCGTGGCCCGAGCAGACCCTGGGTCGCCCCCCGACCACCTCTCACAGGGCCTTCGTCTTGTCCATAGCCGCTGATGACCTGCCCGGACCGGGGGCTGTTTGTCGGGAACGAGACAGGCCTGAGCGCTGTGAGCAGCTGGCAGAGGACCCCGTGCTGGCTCCTCCCGGTGAGCGTGCCCCTCCGGGTGCCCCGAGCCCTCACTCGGATTTTCCCTGTGCGCTCAGAGCGTGCTGAGCTCCGGAGCCCGTGGGCTCTCCCAGGAGAGGTGGGAGGGCAGGCAGGGCAGGGGGTCCGGGCGCTGGCGGTGGTCCTCCACCGCGCCCGCCATGATCTCTCTTCGTGGACGGGGACGTGGCGTGGGGAGGGTGACGGGTTTGCCTCAGAGGCAGAGGAGCCAGGGCCGGGCCCAGGCGGGCTGACGCCAGAGGCCATGCCTGGAGTGCCCTCCTGGACAGAGTGAGGGGGGTGGGACTTGAGGGGGGCGGTGGGGGACTCGAGCTGGTCTCTGAAGGGCAGAAGTCATGGGTCGGCAGGGAGATAGGAGGTGGGACAGAGGGGAAAAGCCGAGGCAGGTGTTGGGCACAGTAGGTTTCAGGGGGTTGTGTCACAGCGGGGAGGGAGGGAGGGGTGGGAGATGAAGCCCGAGGTAGGCTAGATCCAGCTCTGGGCAGAGCACAAGGGCCAGGGTGAGCAGCTCCATCTTTATGCTGGGGGCACTGGGGAGCCACAGCATGATCTTGAGCAGGAGACTGACATGGGTGGAGAGGCACTTCGGGAGGGACCAGCTCATGGCAGAACTCAAGACCTTGTCACGGCCACGTGGCACGGCATTTTCATTGACTACATTTTTTTTACTTTTAAATGAGTTCATTGGCTGTAAGTGGAAGTAAACTTATGCTAAAAACAACATATTATAGAAAGTTTTAGGTTCCATTGCCTGCTCCTTTTTAAGGGAGGCAGGAGAGTGATGCTAAAGACACGCTGGTTCTTCATGGATTCCCCTGTGGCTAAAGGTGTCCCTCCCTTTGGCGACCTTTGGTCCGGGAGGTGCCTCTTGGTGACAGGAGGCGGGGTGACCGACATCCCTGTCTCCCCAGTGTTACACCTGCAGCTGCATCCTGGCCTTCATCGCCTGCTCTGTCTTCCTGCGGATGAGCCTGGAGCTGAAGGTCGTGCTGCTGACTGTGGCCTTGGTGGCCTACCTGGTCCTCTTCAACGTCTCCCCGAGCTGGCAGTGGGACTGCTGTGACCACAGCCTGGGCAACCTCACCGGGACCAACGGCACCCTCAGGTGAGGCCCCGTCCCTCACTCAGGACCCCCGCCCACTGCCCGTCCTGACTGTGGCCCGCTGCAGCGCCCTTTGCTTTGTGTCCGTGATTTCACACAGGGGCTTTTGCATCCACAGTCCCCTGTGGACCGGAGAGCTTGTGGGCTGGCCTGGCAGGGGAGGCGATGGCCCTGGGTCTGCGGTGCTCAGGACTGAATGTGACTCATCGGCAGGGGGTCCCCAGAGGCCAGCGGGTCATCCTGTCTCTAGGCCAGTCTGGGGTGGGAGGTGGAGGCTGCAGCCCTTAGCCCAGCGCCCGGCTCTGAGCCGTGTCCTGGGTCAGAGTTCGGCAGAGAGCGGCCGTCCCTGGTCTGTTCCCAGACACACGGGAGGGGCTGCTGTGTGCCTGCTTCTGGGGCTGGGGGCTCAGGTGGGTCGTGGAGAGAGACCCGGCTGCCTGAAGTAAAAGGCAGAAAGTGGGGGACCCAGAACAAGGTCTGCTCCTATGGGCCTGGCTGGCACCTGCGACTCCTTCCGCAAGCCCCACTCACCTTGAGGAGCGTGGGCTGCCTTTGGCTGCCCCCCACCCACCTACAGTGCTCTCCTTGACTTTGCCATGGCCTTGCCTGTGACCAGGTGTCAGCTCTGATGTCACCTCCCTGTCAGCCTCCCTGTCCCTCCCTCTTTCCTTTACAACCTGGAGCACCTTGTTCGCCAGCCATGACACATGGGCTCTGAGAGCAGCACCCTTCCATCTCGCTCACTTTCCCAGGGGCTAGCCCTGGGTCTGGGCCGCGCTTGTGGGGGCTTCCGGGGGAAGTGGAGATGACATCTGCCTTTCTTCCTCGTGTCCAGCGGCTCCTCCTCCTGTTCGTGGCATCTGAAGACGATGATCAATTTCTACCTGGTCTTGTTCTACACCACCCTCATCATGCTCTCCAGACAGGTGCAGCCCGGGAGGCCCCTCTGCTTGGAGAGAGGCTGGGGGTGGGGTGGGGGCGGCCTCGGACTTGGAGCCGTGCACAAGATGCAGTCTTTTCATGGTGTCCTGCTCCTGGGGTCACGGGCCCTAAGTGTCCTTACTTTTCATCAGGACTCGAGTGACATTTAATCGTGTGGGTCACTTGAGGATTGTCAGTCTTGGCTGACGGGGGTTTCAGGACCACCGCCGGGTGGCTCTTGAGTCGGAGACCTCAGCCAGGGGCACAGGGTAGCTCCGTAGCCCCGGGGTTACGAGTGTGCCCTGCCCTCTGCCCTCACTCACTGCGGCCAGGACATGGATGTCCCCCTGTCCGCAGATTGACTACTACTGCCGCCTGGACTGTCTGTGGAAGAAGAAGTTCAAGAAGGAACATGAGGAGTTTGAAACCATGGAGAACGTGAACCGCCTTCTTCTAGAGAATGTCCTGCCTGCGCACGTGGCCGCCCACTTCATCGGTGACAAGTTAAATGAGGTGGGGGCAAGAAGGGACTAGTCACTCGGGCAGGGAGCCCAGAGGCACAGGTGTGGTTCCTGGAGGGAGGGTGCTTTCCGCAGTTGGTCTCCACGGCACTTGGCCTCACCGATGCTCCCAGGAGACTGTGTGTGGCATTAGCTGTAAGAAAACAGCCTTCAGAGTCAAGACCTGCGTTCAGGTCTCACTACCCTGGGCCTTGATTTTCACATCTACCAAGTGGGACTGATAGTACTTGGCCGGCAGAATTGTTGCAAGGTAATCTGGACCATCTGCTGATGAAAACACGCATTTCTACCAGTTCTGTGCAGCAGAGGTTCCTATCTATCTATGGGAACTCAGGCCCAGTGAGCAGAGAACCCAGGCCTCCTGACTGTTACCATCTATACCTGGGAGTCTCAACCCCAGCTGTGCAGACCCAGGGGACCGAAAGGAGCCCCAAACCAACCTAAGTCCCACCCTCCTCAACAAACTGATTTAGAGCCTCCTGTTCCGTAATGGTCCCCAGTTGAGTCTCACGGTAGCCAGGTGGAGAACCGCTGCTCAGCCCCTCCTGTCCCCGCTCCCGTCCCCCAACACCTGCTCCTGGAGTGTGAGGCGGAATCGCCGCCCTGCCCGCAGGAGGCCGGGTGGCCATGGGGTCCTGTGTCTCCCCCTCCCCCGACCCAGGACTGGTACCATCAGTCCTACGACTGCGTCTGTGTCATGTTTGCGTCGGTGCCGGACTTCAAAGTGTTCTACACGGAGTGCGATGTCAACAAGGAAGGGCTGGAGTGCCTGCGCCTGCTCAACGAGATCATCGCCGACTTTGACGAGGCAAGGCCTCCCCGGAGCCTGGAGAGGGCGGGGCGGGGCGGGGCCCTGGGCCCCGCTAACACTGGGCTGCTGCTCCCTTGGGGGGAACACACGTCACACAAATTATGAAAGGTACACACACATTTGCCTTTTTTGTCTCTTCAGCGGGTAATGTGTTATCTTCTCTGATTGGCAGCTTGCTTAGATTTAGGTTGTAGAACTATTTGATTTCTTGCTTAGCCTGTGCTGGCAGTCTGTTTCGGAGTTAGTCACTCAGTTTGGGCTTAAGTCTTAGCTGCAAATAATCCGCATGCTTCTGTAGACTGTTGAGTGGGGCGTTTGCATCTTAGGAGGAATGAGACCGGGCTTCCCTGGCGGCTCAGACAGTAAAGAATCTGCCTGCAATGCGGGGGACCTGGGTTCAATCCCTGGGTTGGGAAGGTCCCTTGGAGGAGGGCATAGCAACCCACTCCAGTATTCTTGCCTGGAGAATCCCCAGGGACAGAGGAGCCTGGTGGGCCCAGTCTGTGGGGTGGCAAAGAGTCAGACACGACTGAGTGATGGAGCACACGGGAATGAGACCAGATGAGAATGGAAAAGACAAGGAGTGTCAGGGAACAAAGGGGCGGGAGAGGATGGGGGCTGTCCCCACCTGTAGGGAGTGTGAGCTCAGAGGGCGAAGGCCAGCGGGAGAAATGTCTGCGTTAGCAGTGGTGGTGGGAGAGGACCCTGCCCCCTTCTCAGTACCGGGGACAGGCCCAGGCTGCAGCACTCTTGCATGGCCCTGCTTCCCTCCGTCCTGCAGCTGCTGTTAAAGCCCAAGTTCAGTGGTGTGGAGAAGATCAAGACCATCGGCAGCACGTACATGGCCGCTGCAGGGCTCAGCATCCCCTCAGGGCCTGAGAACCAGGTACTCAGCCAATCTGCCAGTCTCACACTGCAGCCCCAAACGAGGGGAAAGTGAGCACAGTCCCAGACCGACTCGTACTTGAAGGGGCACCTCTCCACACTCCCTCCTTTGAGGCAGGGGCAGAGGAGCTCATGGCTCAGCCTGAGAGAGGATTTGGTGGCGGGGTCGGGACAGGGGGCCCCTTGCCAGGAGGGGAGTTTAAGTGGGCACGTGGGTCCTGGACGCCCTGTGGAGGAGGCTCGGTCGGTACAGCTCTGCCCAGCAGCGGTCCCCTGTGGCTGGCACGCTCAGGCTGGCACACAGTGCTCCCCAGGTCGGGGTGCTCTGGAGGTGGGAAGATGGGGTGACACTGCCCGCGGCCCCGTGTGCAGTGCTCTGTCCCACAGGACCTGGAGCGGCAGCACGCCCACATCGGCATCATGGTGGAGTTCAGCACTGCCCTGATGAGCAAGCTGGACGGCATCAATCGGCACTCCTTCAACTCCTTTCGCCTCCGAGTCGGTGAGGCCCCGGGAAGGCGGGCTGGGCCCTGGCTCAGGGCGGGTCTGTGCAGCCCTGCCTCCTGGCAGCCCCACTCTCAGTCGGGTGTATGTTGCCATCTGTTAGGAAAAACTTTAGAAATCCCTCTCTGATCTTACAACCCAGTGATTGGGCAATTATTCTTTCCTTGTGTACTACTTTTCTTTGAAGGTTTTAAGTAAACAGGGATATATATTACCATGGGGAATCCCCGGGTGTAAACAGGTGACCTTGAATATCCCGAAAACAAAGCAAAATTATTAACCTAAGTAGTCACCAATAGCTAATACAGTCAGTGCTCAAAGCCCATTTACTGTTTAAGAGATGATTAGCAGATATAGATACAGTAAAGCATCTGCCTGCAATGCAGGAGACCCGGGTTCGATCCCTGGGTCGGGAAGATCCCTTGGAGAAGGAAATGGCAACCACTCTAGTAGTCTTGCCTGGAGAATCCCATGGACAGAGGAGCCTGGCGGGCCACAGTCCATGGGGGCACAAAGAGTCAGACACAACTGAGTAACACACAGCAGATACAGGAAGTGTTAACACTGGACTCAGGCTCCACATCCAGTCAAGTCTGAAAAGGAACTGCCCCGGGAGCCCTCCCCTCACATCCTAAGTACCATCTCCTGTCCCAGACACAGGAAGCACCATCCCTACCTTCATTTTAGTGCTTTTGGCAACGCTTTCTGTGGTAGCTGAGTGGATTCTGTAGCCCTATAAGCTGGAGGCCCTGTCTCTATGATCTGCCAACTGCAAATATCTTTAGGCATAAACCACGGGCCTGTGATTGCTGGAGTGATCGGGGCACGAAAACCTCAGTACGACATCTGGGGAAACACGGTCAATGTTGCCAGTCGAATGGAGAGCACTGGAGAACTTGGAAAAATCCAGGTAAATGCTCACTGGCGAGACCTGTGCCCAGGGGAGGAAGGGAGCCGGGGGTGTCAGCTGGGCTGTGAGACGGCCAGGGGGTCCTAGCAGCCACATTCTGGAGGGAGACCCGGCCCTGTCGGCCAGTCTCTCTTTGTCCCTGTCTCAGCAGGCCTGCCTCCTCTGAGGACTTCAGCTTCTTTCCTTTTCAGGTTACTGAAGAGACGTGTACCATCCTCCAGGGACTAGGGTATTCCTGTGAGTGCCGCGGGCTGATCAACGTCAAAGGCAAAGGTGAACTGAGGACTTACTTTGTCTGTACGGATACTGCCAAGTTCCAAGGGCTGGGGCTGAACTGAGGGCTTTTGGTAGGTGCCAAACATGCTGGAAACCCATCTCCTTCCCTGAAGCAAGCCAGGCGGAAGGCCCAGCCCCATGCCAGGCACAAAGGCAGTCCAAGGGATTGGTCACCACCACCTGCGCAGGTGGCTCCCTGGATGTGCACTAGAGGACCTGTCAGCTTGGGGCGATCACCCGGCCTCACACACAGGCAGCCAGAACCTCTGTGCTGTCCGAGTCTGCAGCGCAGCCTCCAGCCCAGCAGGGAACAGCTCATCTGTGGGCTGTGCACTCATCCCGCAGGTGCTGTGGACGAGACCTTGGAGCGTGACCTGGAGACCTCCCGTCCCGGGGCCTGTGAGCTGCACGTGGGGAACGTGTCTTTTCTTGTCCAGGATGGGTGGGAACTCCTTTCTCCCCAGTACACCAGCTACAAGAGTGCACACTTCTCATATAGGCATTCTGGTAAATGGAGTTAAAAGACTGTTTTACATCTACAAATGGGTTCAAACAATAGGGAGAAAGCCCCACAGTGGACATTTCTTATCCTCTTTGGCATGTGTCTGTTTAAAAATGGAGACATTATTAATGGAGGTGTCACCCTCTAAATGGCTCCTGAGACGATACATAAATTCTCTTCCCTCCAGTATAGGCTTTCTTGGTAACCACGGCACGCAAGTGGGACCACTGTCCCGTGTGAGCTCATGGGATCAGCTCAGCTGTGGGCTGGAGCTCCAAGGAACATGCCTCACCGCAGGAAGGCAACGAGTGGCATAGCCTTGGCTTGTATCAGACAACTTTGAAGCCAAAACTGAGATTAGGTTTAATGAGTGAAAAGCCCAGAAAATAAGGCATCAGCTCTCAGCCCTTCCTTAACTCCTCATGCATTTCCGAGCGCCCCCTGCAACCTTGCAGTCTGTCTTAGCTCTATATTGGAAAGGAGTGGAGTCTATGTGAGCGAACCTGACAGGCTGTAGTCCTCCCCTTCAGTCTTCACAGCTGGCTCTGAAGAGGACCTACCTAGCGTCAGCATGTGCAGAGGCTCCCGGATCTGGGAAACCAGGCCTCTCACAAACAAGTGCTTGGATGTTCTGAGCTGACTGAATCCATTCAAGTGAAAAAGCCAGGTTTGTGAGGTGTGGTGTCTTATGGCACATCAGCTCCAAAAGAATCGAAAGACGTCAACCTGTGTTTCACCATGAGGAAAGAACAAACTGCCCATTCCCTTTTCTGAACTGACTTCACTGTGTCATTACCGGAGTATCTCCAGGGCTTCTAATACGGCTGGACTTCACCGTATGGCATGAATGCTAGCCAGAAGTCATCCATGAACTCCCCTGAAATTATACAGAAAATCCTGCATACGTGAGGCTTCAAAAGATGATACAACCTTGCAGACAGGTGACTAAGCGGCCGAGTTTGCCTGGGACGGGGGCTGTGGAGTGAGACAGCACCCCAGGCACGGCAGGGAGGGGACTGGAGCCGCACCTGCTGCTGGCCAGTGCTGCGTCCTGGGGCCTGGGTGGGCTGGTGGCAGCTCTGACGCATCACATGAAACTGGAACAAGTAGGAATAAATCACAAGGACTTGCTGTCCTAAAGGAATTTCATGGTGAAAATGCTGGTAAGGGAAATAAACCTTACTTAAGTTGCCTTTTTCACACGCCAATTCTTCATCTAAGTACTATGCTGAAATCTATACCCTTAAAATCAGGAGTGACTGGGCTTTCCTGGGAAATCATGAAGGTTCTGTCACTAATCCAGTGTAGACACACATCAGTATGCTGGGCCTCTCTGAGGTGGATAGGCTTCTACTGTTGCAATATACAAATTACTTTTTTCCTACAGCAAAGAAATCCCAATTGGGAGTTTAAAATATAATTGGTTACCATTTATGTATTTTACTTTCACTGTGCTCAGATAGTAAGTTTTGAATTATTGACATTCAGATCATAGTGTATAACTGACCATAAAGAGCACTTAGTTATTTTTTATAAATTCATTTTCCAATTACCAAGTCATTTGTTCACAGGTGTCACTTTGCTTTATGACAAGACAAGTGTCCTTCCTAACACTGACCTTCTCTGTGGGTCGGGGACATGCTATGCTTCATATCTCTACTAAGGTGGCCTCACTGATGCTAGTAATGTTTTCTGGTTTCCTTAAGAAAATTTCCTAACAGAAAAGATCATTAACCACTGTATACATTGTGTATATGTATAGAAATATGCGTTGAGAAAGTACATGAAAGAACTAGGCGTTATTCTATATACTGAATATTTATAGATCTGTAACATTTGTTTCAAAATGTTATATTTCATTTTTATATAGTACCAGTGTTTCTCTTTTCTTTAGCTTTTCATAGATTAAATCGGCAATCTGGAAAACCTGACTGTCCTGGAGTGTTTCGAATTTATGTGTTTTCTTGGTCTTTGGGAACTACTTGGCTAAATAGGTCGAAAGTTTTAAGAGTTGGTTGCTGCCTGAATTGTCTTTGAGAGACAAACTCTAAAAAGACTTGATAAATACATATTTGAAAGGATTCTTTAATTCTTCTGGCATATGCTTTCAAGTATGTTTTTGAAAGATTAGGTCATCTTAACTCTCTTGAGAGATTCAATTTTCCTTCACCCTACTTGTTAAACGTTAGTTTTCAAAGTCAAGAAAATAATAAAATAGCTTCCAGCCTGGGTGTTTTATAGAAGGGCTCCATACAGTCTGAGTAGGGTCTTAAACCTAATTTGTTCCCTGAACTAGGTCACAGTCTAATGCCTGGTCACAGAAGAGGACCACGTAGCATTTCCTACTTAAATAATTAAACTGCTCAGGAACTTAACCTTTGCCTTTCAGATAAAAGCACATGAGTATCGTTTAGGGGACATGGCAGAGGCACAGGAACCTGTTGAGAAACAGTAAACAGAAACATCAACTTTCCTTTAAGCTTGGTGATTTCCTTCACATATTCATGGACAATTTAGTTTGTATCCTATTTGGCTTGTCCTTTTATTATACTGGGAAAACCTCTCTACAAATGGCAAAAATAAACCAAAAAGGAACACCAGACAAGTTAGTGCTATGAAACTCCTGACATGGTTTTTATTTTGTTCTGCTTTTGTGGTGGGAAGCCCTGGTCCTTCCACATAGGGACATCGTCCCCAACAGGTAAACGGGGGACATGCTAGTAAATTCTAAAGTTGAATTTGTTTTCATGGTATAACAATGGGAATCTCACTGGATGGAAATTTTAAAGAAGAGTTTCTCAGTCATGGTCCTGCCCGTGAAACATAAGGAAGCAGCACTATCACTCTCTGCAAGAACTTTTGCCTAGGTCCACTCCCATCCACTTTCTGCTCGGTATTCCAACCGGTCCAAATCATTCCTTCCTCACAAGGCCACTTTTTGAATAAATCCTCGAAGTGAAATCTGCTAAGTCAGGAACCATTTGGTTATAATTTTCTTAATGAGAAGTAAGACAAATATGGGAAAATGAGGGATTTCAATGATTTGGGCAACTTTTTAATGGATGGTCAGGAAAAAGGCTGTTTTATTCTCCAAGCTTTTCTCTATCACTTCATCCTCAGATTCAGCCCCAGGGAAAGGTGAAGGGGTAACTCAGTTGATATGTACAATACAGCTCATAGTCCAGGTTTAGCTTTATTACCTAATAGAAGTTCAATCTCTGGAACATTAAAATTAACTGTTCCAAAGTTTAATTAAAAACACAATTTACAAATATTTAATATCTTCTGAAAAGCATTTCCAAGTTAATGAAAAAAATATATACATAATATATAATCAAATACCAGATAGTTTCAAATCCCATCAGGTTCACACTCAGTAACATCGGTGTTTTTAGGTTCTTCAAAATCTGAAAGAAAAACACTATTTAGCACCTTTTCTCCTTTTAATTAAAAAGGGGATGTGACAGTAAAAAAAGTAACTGTTGACAGCCCTTCTTCACTATGTTCAAGGTTAAAGACTAGGTAGGTGTATCACTATAGTTTTTTTTTTTTTCTTTCGCAAATGTGTGAGGTCTTTATTCCTTAGACAAGATGGAAAGAAAACTCGACTAGTTCACATGTTAGCATCAGAGACGCCGCCTCTTAGATGTTCCTGGAGGGAGAGGCCTGATGTTGCCGAGCCCTCCACGCTCCCAGAGACAGGCACCTACCTTCTGTTAGATCGACAAGGTGGTTCTCAATGCCCGGGGAGGGGACGGAAATTCCCATCGCCTTTCGGAGTCCGTATGTGCTTACAATATCGCCTGGAGTTACTTGCTGTGCAAGTTCTTTAAGGTTACTGGTCACTTGTTCAGCTAGGGGTAAAAAAAACAACACAGAGTTCAAGGTACTGAAATGTGATTCCTTTAGATAACTTAAAAAAAAAGCCCAATAAACATGAATACAGAAAATGAACTGTCCATGGTGTTCCCTTCAGTGTTACTTGATAGTGGTACCACTACTCAGAAATGCTCCCGTTAAGCAGCTTGCTTCTCCAACCAGGGGCTTCCCTGGTAGCTTAGGTGGTAAAGAACCAGCCTGCAATGCAGGAGAGCCTGGTTCCATTCCTGGGTTGGGAAGATCCCCTGGAGAAGGGATAGACTACTCACTCCAGTATTTCTGGGCTGCCCTGGTGGCTCAGATTCTAAGAGGCACCACATACCGAGATGCATTTCTCTGTATGACGGACCCAAGAGACAGATCATGTTGGGAGGGGGTCTGGTGCTCAGACGCTCATTCTGGGCTTCCTGGAGCTCTCTGAGCAGTTTGGTGGTCTCATCAAGTTTCCTCTGGAACACTTCAGCTTCTGTGAGAAAAATAACTTATTAAGGACAACATGGACATACTTGTACCTGATCCTGTGCAATAAACTGAGGACTATGTTCTGGGGTTTTGCCATTTATTGGTCAGTTGTCTCTCCTCAAAGGAGTAATCCCCCCTAAGTGAGATCACCACCACAGGCACACTTTACTGTTCACTGAGCTTGGCCAGTCACCATGTTCCCACAGTGAATGGCTATGCTTGCCTGTGCTGCTTTGACGTTATATCTTAGCTGCCTGTGTCAGGAAGTGTTTCCTTCAAATCCTCTGGAGACACTCACCTTCAGAGTCAAACACTTCGACTGGGGCTCCGAAGTGTGTTACTGCTTTCAGTGCTGTGAGCTTGTCTTGATTACTGGAGTCTAAACGCCCTGTGAATTCAACTTCTGTAACCTGCTTTAAAAAAAAATTATCTGAGCTTGCTGAGCCCTGACAGTGCTAGAATGAGAAGTCAGTAAGACAGCTTGTGTTTACAAGCCAAGTTATTTCACTTATTTAGAGTTATAATTCTGATGCCATAAAAACCTTTAAAATGCCGTTCCTAAATCCTGGCGGAAGTGTCCGTAAGTTCACACTTCTCGGTAATGGAATGGTGTGTTTTAAACACTGTGTTATTTGTTTCATCACTACTCTAAGGTTAAAAGCCTTATCACTGCACTTGCGGTGACTGTGACGGTACTGTGGTTTCTGAGGTTCACAGGCAATGTTTTAGTCCATACACTGGCACTCCCTTATGGTAGAACTCGAACGTAAGATACTTCCTGGGTTCTCCTCTGGGCCTCAAAGTCAGGCTGTTAGTATTGCATGGGAGAAACAAAATCCTAAAATGGGTAGTTTTATTTTTGGAATCTCAAGACTCAGAATTTCCATAACCGCAACACTGGTTTTTAGGAAATGATCAACCGTGACAGCTGAGTAACCCAAAGTTAATGGTTCCATTTATACTCTAGTATTGCACTCTGAGCTCAGACACGAGGGCTAAGTGTGGTGGAGAACACCTTACAACTCGACTTAATACACTTCTCACCCAGCTTTCCTTCCCATTCTCCAGCTTTCCTTCATTCTTACCTGTTCACGTACGTGACCTTGCCTGGCTCATCTTTCTTGGAAAGCGACATGAATTTTTAAGTACCATCTACATTTGCATCTATCTTTACTTGGTCTTCCATCTTCAAGTTTTCTTTCCTGTCAAAAGGCTTGCAACGCTCCGGTCTAAGCCATGTAACTTGTGGCATCGTTATCTTGTCCCCACCATTGTACTGACACTACTCTGATTAAGGTTACATGATGCCTGTCCTAGAGGGCTTCTGCGGCATCTGACACTGCTGGACTCTTCCCTGCTTTTCCTACCTTAACTATTGGTCTTTCCAAGGTTCGTTGGCCTTTTCCTGTCCGTGTGTTCTGCCTGGACAGTCTCGTTCACTTAATACCTACAACAATTCCACTTTGACACTAGTGACCTCTAGATGAGCACACCTCCAGTGATGTCCCAAACCACACTCACCAGCCCTGAAACCAGATGACGCTTCCTTCCTGCTGGTGTGCTCCTTTTCCTGTCCCTCTGACAGAGCTAACAGTGCTAGGATCTACCTTGTGCATCAGGCCCTATCAATTTTAGTTCTACTGTATTTTTCTTTATTGTACATCTTCACTCTCTTCCATTACATTGTTATCTAAGCAAAAAACAACTAGCTTAAGTCCCACAGCTTTTCGCTGGTCCGCTCCCTCCAGCACCCGCTTCTCCTCCACACCTGATCAGCAGTCTTGGAGGAGAAAATCTCAGCTTCCTAGCACTGCATATACAGCTTGTCATCTGATCCTCCTCTCTATGGTACCCTGTGGTCACTCACTCCTTGGGTGCTCTCTTGCCCTGCCTGCTCAGATTATGTCGTTAATCTGAGTTAATGACATAACTACCCACTTCATACACCTGGCCCTGTGCTGAGGACCCTGTTCATCTCTCTAGACCCAGTCCATCTGGAAGCCTCTCCGTGAGGACCTCACCAACTGTGCAAAGCAGCCAGCTCCCCCAGCTGCACTCCCGCAACATGTACACTTATGCTTTTCAGTAACTGGCTTTGGCCCCCTTGCTTACATGCTTGTCTACTGCGCTTACTGCTGCTCCCTTCTCCGCAGGCAAAAAGAGTTCTTTGATTTCAGGAGATACTCAATAAATATTTTGCTTTTAAAATAAAAGCTTTATCATTTAGGCTTTTTCGCTTCTTTGCCACTTAAAATATTTCTTGTAAAGAAATGAAATATATTCACCTCCATTTCTTTTGCTGTGTCAAGTATCCTAGTCTGGCCTTCATCTTCAGGAGATGACTATAAGGATAAAGAAACACACTTTATTAAAGAAAACATCACGTGGCTAAAATCTCTGACAAACAGAAGACAGGAGAACTCCTGGTGTATTCTGCATGAAAAGAGGCAACATTCTCAAACAGCATCAGATGTGTATAAAATATTCAAATGCTACAGAGAAGGTGAAAACTTTCCATAACCCTAGTCTTCAGAGATAATGCGTATATAAACAACACATGTATCACGTGCAAAAATCAATAATGATCTGTTATCTTCTCCTGAAAGGTTATACTGGGATTTATTTAACCAATTTCTAGTTTTAAAAAATTATAAAAACTGTATTCCTTACATATAACTCCTATCTTATTTTCTAGTATAAATTCTGAGAAAAGAAACTGCTAGATCAAAGGGCAGAGAAATTTTAAATATACTGCTGTATCAACCAAATGAAAGATAAGCGATTTTAGTTCAAGACCTTTAATTAATTCAGGTTAACTGATGCGAAGTATACAGTAAAAATATTTCTGAACTGATGTAAAGCTGAATGTTTTTTTAGGTGATGTAAAGAAAGCAGTTTTGCGCTAAGATACAAGACTGTATAGCAGTTCTCACTGGACTTCAGGCACTGACTCAGCTGTGCTGACAGGTCACCCAAGGACCAGCAGCCACAGGTACAGTGAAGGCAGAGAACACAGCGACTGCACTCCCAGCCGCCAGAAAGAGTCAGAACCCCCAGCAGATACGGGGCTCCTCTATCTATGTTGACATGGACTTTCTGGAGATCAGCTCTCCTCTCCCTTGAACGGACATTTTCTGGTTCTCATCTTTGAGTCAAGTCTCTGAATTACCCCGGATTATGAACTATGTCCAACTGAACTGGAGCTAATTTACAAGTGTTAACAAAAGACAGCAATGAGGAAGATTTTTACTTTTTTACTTGAGGCTCCACCACTGTATTATCACTACATAATAAGGAAAAGGACATTCCCTATCATTTTAGTCAACTCAGTGTCAAGCCGGTGAGCCAGACTTCCTTTTTTTGTTCGGGTACATAACAAGAGCTGACTTCTGGGTTGTAACCCCCATTTTTGATTTCTACATTTCCAAGATGAGGAGATAATGACAATCATCTGGCCCTCACAGATCCTGGTAGCCGAGTTACTTGTTTCCGTTCATTGTCCTCCACCCATGGGCTCCACCCTGGCTGGGCTGTCTTTTCAGTGGAATGGAGTTCAGCTGTCACACTGGTTAATCCCATGGTTTCATAACACTGATGACTAACACTTGAGGACCAATGATAAATCACCCTATTACTTTAGCAGCATTCTTACCGTCTCGGAGTCCTGCAGGGTTCTAGAATGTCCTCCTTTTGTTAAAACATCCAGTAAACTATCTGCCATAACATATGGATAATCTTGGCATGTGGCCAAAAACTCATGGATGCTGAAAAACAGTGTTGGGAAAGTCACTTTCATATAAATGATCTCCACTCGTGTTTCCTTCCTGTTACAGCCAACTATTTAATTAGATGCCTTTAACTTACGCCCATGATGTGAAACTTTCCATCAAGACAGAACACAATTATATTTACATATTTACCAGTGATAGATTTATCATCATGAGAGAACTAAGCAATATCAAGAACATCATGAAAAGGAAATGCTCCTGGGGAAAAGTTCAAAGAAAAATAAGATCTCAGTGATGGAGGGGACGAGGGCTCAGTCAGTGGAATTCTTTGCTTCTCTCTTTCACTACATCCCTAAGGTGATCGTATTTGCCTCAGGGCTCTTGTATGTACTAGTGAAAGTGAAAGTCGCTCAGTCATGTCCGACTCTTTGCGACCCCACAGACTATACTGTCCATGGAATACTCTAGGCCAGAATACTGGAGTGGGTAGCCTTTCCCTTCTCCAGGGGATCTTCCCAACCCAGGGATCAAACCCAGGTCTCCCACATTGCAGGCGGATTCTTCACCAGCTGAGCCACAAGGGAAGCCCCTTGTATGTACTAAAACACTCTCAAAGTTCCACCTCCAGATTGGACCACACTCTTTGGCAACTCCATTTGGAGGTCAAATAGCCTCATAATGTCCAAAATTGAACTACTGGATCTTCCTCCTGAAGTAGTCTTTCTAAAATCTTCCCTCTTAGTAACAGCAATGTCATCTTCTAGGCTTCATCTAAAACCCTGGAATTCTCCATGACTTTGCTCTCTCACACCCCACTTCAGTGACTCAAGAAATCCTACTTAGGCTGACTCCTGATCCCATCTCGGCACCTCAGCCTCCACCCCTTCAGTTCAGTTCTCATCTGGATTATGACAGCAGATCCCCTGTGTCTTCCCTCGTCCCCTATAATCTGTTTCCCATACAGCAGCCATAATGATCTTTTAAAAATTATAAGCCAGACTTGGTCACTCTGCTCAAAAGCCACCAATATCTTGCCATCTCACTTAGAATAAAACTCCAAGTTCTTACAAAGATCTATGCCCACCTGCTATTTCCCCTGCTCTCTTTCTGCCCTCTACTGCTCTTTAAATGTTTCAGTCAGGTTCCCACCTCAGGGCCTTTGCCCAGCTGTTCCACTGGCTGGAATGCTCTTTCAGACAGCAGCAGCGTTTCCTTCTTTACTACCTTCAGTTTTTGCTCAGTGTTTATTCAGCAAAGTCTTTCTTGACTATTTGAAACAGCATTCCTCTCCCAACCCTAGCACTCCCTATATTCCTTTTCTTCAAAACACATGTTATCACCTGACATCAGGCATGAGTCTGTGTCAGTACTGTTTCCCTGCAGAATCCCCAGTATCTAGAAGAATGCCTGGAAAATACGGTACCCCAGCAATACCTGTATGTGGAATGCATGGATGAATGATAGAGAAAGGATTTATTTAAGCTGGTGAGAGGAGGTCTAAAGGATACAAATGGCTTGATCTAAAAACACAGTCATTGACTTGTAAAAACACTACCACCACTACCAACCACACATATGTAAAAGTGAACAAGTCCCTCTTTCCAGAAAACCAGGAGACTGGTTAATCTACTGGGTTAAAGTCTTACACATAATGAAAGTTTACAAGATTCCACCGCCAAGAAGCAATAACCCAAGCTCAGCCCAACCCAAGCCAGAATGCCAGTAAATCAGGACGGTATCTCATTATGCTGATGGCATGCAAAGTACCCAGTATCCTAAACAAGAACACAAAACATGTGATAAGGGCTGGTGGAGTCTAACTGCCAGAGTCTACTGGGACCTGACAGGTCAAACAGGCTTGGATGGGGGTCGGCTTTGGACCAAACCAGGTCCTATCTCCTATCTTGGGGAAAATGTTCGGTGGCTTTGACTTTGATTTGATCCCCCATAGCGATCAAATCTGGAACAACTCACTGATGCAGAAACATTTTACAATGAAGCAGGTGGCACACCAACATTCTGAAGCAACAAACTCCTGAATTTTAGTAAGCGGAAATACAAGACATCTTTAAAAACATATTTTTGTAAGAATTAAAATACGGCAGATGCCAACACCAGAAAATACTAGGGAGACACATGCTTTCTTTAAAATATTTACTTTCCATTAAAGAATGACGATAACTAGGGGTCTGTTTAATTGTCAATTTAAAAAATTCCTGAACACATTTCCCACCATTTGAATAACTCTGTAGGTCTATCAATAGATCCCTTATGTGTATCAGTGTTTTAGGACAGTGCAGCTCTCAGAGCACCAGTGAACAGATGACTCACCTGAAATCATTGGGGAGATCAGGGTCTTCCCCATAGGTTGAATAGATCAAATCAGAATCATCCTTGCTGATATTTGCAAACGTGGAGTCATAATGTGGTGCGTAAGAACTGTAGGGTCCATAACTCAAGTATAACACTGTTGATGAAAACACACATAGAACCACAATACTATTCTTTAACTTGGATGTCAATCTCTTTTTCTAATTATTAAAGATTATTCCCTTCTAACTGTGCTACTTCACTGACTGGCAAACAAATCCAAGGTAAATTATTTTCTCCAAAATATATACTTATAAGTCACAACAACTTAAGTGAATCTTTTCTTACAATGGGGAGGGGAAAAACAAGAAAGCAAACTCATTTTGAATATTAATACTGATTTTTAAGTTTCTTTAAAATATCTAATTAATGTTGCAAAAATACCATAAATAAAGTTAAAGTAATGGTAATTATGCTTTTTTTTCTCAACTCCTTGAAAATGAGAAGAGGAAAAACCACACTACCACATGGGAGCCTTACCTGGAGTCACTTTGTTTCTTTTATCTTCTTTGAATCCCTGCAAAGTATTCACTCCAGACTGAAGTCTTCCAGTTGTCATCCCCAGTCTCACAGGACAATAGCCTGGTTCTAAAACGTAAGAGTGAGCATGGTGGAGACGGCTCATGTGGCAGTGACCCCATGGTGCTCTGCAGAGTTTCTGTGCACACACTGCTTCAGGATACCCACCTCACTCCGAGCAGCCCTTACTATACCTATCTTTTTTTTTTTTTTTTTGCCATTTTTAACAAAAAAAATCTGAGTTCAGAAAGGCAGGAATGTAGCCAGGATCCAAATCTGGTCCTTTTCATCATACTCTGCAGCATCCTGGAATTCTTTATAATCATGTTGCACTTCACTTTAAAAAAAATATTTAAAAGTCCGACCTTTCAATGTGAAGATGATGGAAGCAAACCAGTAGAAAAGGTCAAGTAACAGAAGCGGAAATCCCTGATTAAAGACAAGAAGTCGTAATACATTCAGGATAAATTAATCTCTACAAGAGACAGACTTGTACTGCAGGGACAAACAGCCTTTACAGACGAAAAGCCCGTACACCAGGCATGAAGCCCTGTAATGATGCTGGAGGTCTGTGATGTAAGCGAAAGAACAGAGAGGGGTGGTGTCAGGAGAGAACGTGGTCTCTGACAAAATCCAACAGAAAAGATTTACTCCTGAAGAAGAGCGCTGGTTTTTGTAACAGGCCCACCCTGGAACAGAGTCGACTGCCACATGTGATCAGCGTGACAAAGCAGAAGCACTTGTGAGAAACTCCAAACCTCTAAATCAAGATCTTCCTTCCTTGGTAAGCATCTGGTATCTTAATTGGTACTAGTACCTCCAACCAGGAGGATGAAGCTGAGACACGAACAGGGGCATCTTCCACCTTAAACCAGTAAACTGGCCTCCTGGGAGAGCAGCTGTTGAGTGTGAGGATCAAGTCAGTGTTGGCTGCAACTGATAATGTCTACAATAGTTGGGAACCCAGAAAACCAGACCAAGAGCAGAGACTAGAACCCCAGGTACAAAGAAAGGGGCAGATCTTTGTGCCTTTAAGAAAAGTTTCACCTAAATCAACTTAGCTGCATCTCTTATCACCAAATTTTCATCACTGATACATCAGAAAGAGCAATGTTCTCAATCCTGTGGCATTTTCTATGATCCAAGACCCTAAAAAATTCTACTATGAAAAGTTCATATAAAATTAAAAAATGGGGCCAGAGTGAAAATAGCGAGTTGTAGGTAGTGGTGGCAGCAGTGGCGGTGTGCGGCGGTGGGGTCACGTGGCCACAGCCACGGCGGGGGCGGCTCCTCCAGCCTGAGCAGCAAGGCCCGGTCTATGGCCTGTACCTCTGCACCAACCTGGAATGGCGGCAGGGCCTCACAGTATTTAAAAAAAAAAAAAAAAATATATATATATATACATACAAAGTAAAAGAGTTTTATTTTGAAATCATAGCACCAGTTCTTCTTTTTCTAAGTCAAGGAGCCTATCAATGTTCTGCTTCAGCATTTCAAGAGTGTACTGCAATGTTAAAACACTGACAGGCTGGCATCAAGCTCTTCTCTGCTTCAAGGTTTTTTTTTAACCTGTTATTCCCCAATCCCTTACTCACCACCTTGGGATCACCCTAAACCTCTCTTAAGGAAGCCGTCTTTGACCCCCAGACACTGTTACTCCTCTGCGGCTCTGTTCCCCTGCTGCACTGATTCCTGGTGGACAGGCTGCCATCTCTTCACTTGATTCTTTGTGTGTTTTTCTTTCCCCACCCCACAGAATGTAAGAGGAAAGGACCTGTCTGCTCCTGTTTCTTTCCCTTTTACACCTAGCTCCACCTCCAGCTCCTAAGACAGTGCCTTCCTCACTGCAAATAATAAATATTAGAAGCTATTTCCTGGAATTTTGTCATTATTCATTTCTGTACCCCCAATTATCTCCCTCCTAATGGTAGTAGGAAGAGTTATTTATAGAATAAACATTCTCATGCTTATCACAACATGATTCCCTCAAAGATAAATGATACATATTTCCCATTCTTACATCAAATTTCAAAATATTCCCTATTCTATTTCCATTAAAATATCATTTGAAAAAATAAAAGTATGACTGATGTTCTAAAACAGTGATTCCTAACCTTTACAATCTTTCTAACAACCACAGTGAAAGATATAATGTCATTTACTATATATTATTCCACTACCATTAAGGTACTAGTATAGTACATGGCACATATAATCATTTTATTCCCTAAAATTAAAAAGTCTTAAATTTTATTATGTCATAGTCTGAAGGTTTTGAGATATTGCCTGAGTCTTTTTGAGGTATCTCAAAAAGTGCCCGTCTCTTAAAACCAGGGCTAGAAATGACCGCCTAATATTTTGGGTTTGTTAATGGTTGGTATGATAATCCAGGAACTTAGATATGTTTTAAGTCTTTTTTCACGTGGACCACATTTTTAAGTCTCTATTGAGTTTATATAACACTGCTTCTGTTTTACGTTTTGGTTTTCTGGCTGCGAGGCATGTGTGATCTTAGCTTCCCGACCAGGGACTGAACCCGCACCCCCTGCACTGGAAAGCAAAGGCTTAACCATTGGACTGCCAGGGACGTCCTAAATTTTAAAGAAAACTTGATTTTGTAGCACTTATTTTGGGATGAAATAAAGTTAGGCTAGCTGTTAGTATGAAGTACAGGATACCTAGCCAAATACTTTATGGATGACGATAGTTGGGTTTATCAATATTCAGACTAGCTCCTCTAAAGTTAAACAAGCTCCTCTAAAATGCTAACCAAGTTGCCACATTAGCATCAAGTTCATGCACAGTCTAATTCTGTGAACCTACCTCCGACAACAGGATCCACAGGATGGAGAAGTCCCAATGTTGTTGTTCCATCTGGCTTTCTCCTTTCAAATTCACACTGCAAAGACCCAAAGTATTCAAATGGCATAAACAGTTTTATATACGATACATATGTTGCTCACCAGAAAACCTCACCTTAGTTTAATCAAACTAATATTACAGGTGGCTATCATCATACTCCTATCAACTTTCACATATGTACACAGGTGCTGATGGGTTAAAGAAATAAAGGTTAGAAAATCTCAGAATTTTAAAAGAGCCGTGTGGGTGCTCAAGTTCTGTTTAAACTATTTTAAAAAAGTATACTGAAAACCAGGGAAGAGAAGTGACGTACCTAAAGCCATGGATTAATTCATTCGGTTTTATTTATTTTTTTTTTCTTTCCATTTATTTTTATTAGTTGGAGGCTAATTACTTTACATCATTGCAGTGGGTTTTGTCATACATTGAAATGAATTAGCCATGGATTTACATGTATTCCCCATCCTGGTTTCATTCGGTTTTAGAACCGAGGTGCTAAACAACATGATTTCAAAAGACCGTGTATGTTTTCTTATAATCTTAAAAGTATGTGGTTCATTTTCCAACATTTGAACACATTAATGTCCCTTAAGAAAAACCCCAAACCCTTCTAGCCAGTAACAGAGGATAGTATGAATTATGTACTTTAAAAACAAGTATATTACTACTTTTTCTTCTGTGAGCGCTGTCCTGAAGAGCTCTATGGCAGATATGGATTAAAAGTACACAAGCAACTTAAAAACTAAAAGTTTCAGACAACCTGAATCAGTAGGTAATGAAAAGAAAGGAAAAGCTCCATCACCTGACTATTAACAAGCCTCCTGGTCAGCTTTCCTCCAGATTCCTTAACGATGCGGTCAATCTGCTCCTGCTCTCTTTCTAAACTATTGCTTTTAAATTTATCTTCAAGCACATCTTTGTCTTTCCTGAAAGCACACATTAATACTAAGTAAAAAAAAAGAAGAGGATAAGATGAAAACATTAAAATGTAATTCCAAATATGAATACAACCAAAGTGGAGAAATTTGTGCTACTGACACCAATTAAAACTTTGTTTCCTAATGACCTGGTAAGGGGCCCCAATAACACACAAACACTAAGGCAAGCCAAGTAGTTGGTCAGTTTCCTCCCTGTGTCCAATATTATTTGTTTTAAACATTTTTCTTAGTATATTCATAAAAATGAACCCTACCTCAAATATATTTTAAAAGCGGAGGGGTGCACAATTTGTTTTACAATTTGGTACACTTAAGTCCAACTTATAAAACTTAAAGTAAACATGTACTACAATGTATAAACCTTAGAAATATAAGAAAAACCTGTCACAAGTTCACTTCATGTTGTAACAGCAGAAGTCCCAACCTGCTAACTAACCCCCTCTCCCAAAGCTGACAGTGAGGTGCCGGGCGCCAGGATAGGTAGGCAGCAGTTGAGCGGGATGGACACGTACGCAACTGAGTGGGGCCACATCAGCTGATGGCTGGTAGGACAGGCGGTTCACACTGCTGCTACCAGCTGACGTTGAGTGGAAAACATGCACACATCTCAGTGACAGCCCATCTGTTCAGAAAGCAGCTTTAACTGTGCTTAGGCTTAAGTACGGGCTCGACTCCTTTGTGGAATGAGGTAATGAATATACAACTTTTTTCTTAAACAAACAGCTCCATTAATATAAACTCACTGACAGCATGAGTCCCTCGAGACTATTTACTGGTTTTAAAACGACTTCCCTACAGAATAGACATTCAGAACTATTTTCTGGATTGTGTTTAGACAATTACAAACTATGCTTTGTATGAGAAAAGGGGTGTCAAAGCATCAAAATGGACTCTGACAAAACCCAAGCAATCACGGACCCAAGGCAGGCCCCTGAATTGTATTTTCTCGCGTTACTGGCGTGGAACACAGCTGAACTTTAATATTTCAAAGATTTTTTACTTTTTATTCTCCTTGTTGGGGCTCTTGAAGCCCTGCGCCTCGGCGTCTCCAGTGTCGTCCCTCTCTCTCGGCCAGGAGCCGCTGTCCTCCCCACTCTGCGAGGTGTCTGTCCTGTCTCTCTGCTTCCGACTTTTCTGCAAGTCTGCCATGAAGTCTATGCTCTGCTTCAGGCTCTGAATTCTCTCCTAAAAATATTCAGCAATATTCTTACTGTATATTTGTCATTCATTTGTAAAGTAACATATTTTCCCTCATAAGAGTTTACACTTATCCTGTTATTAATTAGGGAAGAAAAACAGTCAAATGTAACCCTACCAAAAGAGGAGAATAGTTAGGAACCAGGACAATAAAGTCTATTCCTTCAATTCAGATAATTTCCACAATAAGAGAATGCTTTGCAACTTTACTGCATCATCAAAAAGTTCACAGGAGAGAATATGTGAATAAAGACTAAGTATTCTTAGCAGTAGTAAATTTAAAGTTTAGTTTAATAGTGTGTTAAAACTTCATGTTTAATAGAACAGTTCATCTTCTGAAATTTAAGAATTAGTAGATATTTAAAATGAGCATGTGAATATGGGAAGATCTCTTACATTTTGGTATCCTGGGATGATCACTGAGGACTGGCATTTTTCTGTATGAAAACACGCCTCAACGAGAAAAGGCTGCTAGCATAGTTTCTTTTTAAGAATGCATAATGTTCTACCAAAGAAGTATTGCTTCTATTCTGTGAAACATGTGCTGAATTTTCCACTGCATCCCTTATGGGCCTGTGGTTTCTGGACAAATGTTAAAGAGGCAGACTTGTTCCTAGTGACTACTCTGCCTTTTAATTCTGTGCTGTCAATGGACAAAATATGGAGTGTAGTCTCCTTAGGGATACACAGCAACAGCAGGGAAGACTTCTACAGAATAACAGACACTAGAACTGAAGAGGACCAGAGGTCATTCAGATAAGAACAATGTAGCCCAGAAATGCTAAATGACCCGACTAAGGTCTCAGAACCACGGGCTAAGAGCAGGCTTCTTGGATCTCATGATGGGGCCTTTTCTCATCATACTCTGCTGTCTTAGCAGTGCAGATTGTGACAGCCTCAGGAAATGGGTCCTGCTAATTTTACTGCACTATAATTTTTAATTGTATTAAAATACATATGATATATAAAATACATATATAACATAAATACATATATTATATATATAAATATATATATAGAGAGAGGGCTTCCCTCATAGCTCAGTCAGTGAAGAAGCTGCCTGCAATGCAGGAGACCTGGGTTTGATTCCTGGGTCAGGAAGATCCTCTGGAGAAGAAAATGGCAACCCGCTCCAGTATTCTTGCCTGGAGAATCCCATAGACAGAGGAGCCTGGCAGGTTACAGTTCATGGGGTTGCAAGAGTCGGTCACAACTTAGCGAAACTGAGTTTTAAAAACAGGTCTTATTTTAACATGTACTTAAAAATATTAGTTTGATTATTTCTATATGCATTTAGCGGCCATTTGTGTTTCCTCGTGTATGTCACTTAAGTCATTTACTTCTAATTTACTTCTAATACCTGAAACAGAGGCTGGCATATAGATGGTACTCAGTAAGTGTTGGTTAACTGAATGGGTTGGATCACAAAGTTCTCAGTAACCTTTTAACTTCAATTCTAGAATTTTATAAAGCAGAACCTACATTAGGAATATTTTCAAATTTAAAAAAGAAAAAACAGTACATCAAGTTAAAATAATTCAATTAAAGCAATTTTCTAAATTTCAATGCAAGTCATGGAAAAAAGTTGAGTTTAATTAATTTTACTTTAAAAGCTGAATGTTGAAGCTGAAACTCCAATACTCTGGCTACCTGATGCGAAGAGCTGACTCATTTGAAAAGACCCTGATGCTGGCAAAGATTGAGGGCAGGAGAAGAGTACGACAGAGAATGAGATGGTTGGATGGCATCACTGACTCAACGGACATGGTTTTGGGTGAACTCTGGGAGCTGGTGATGGACAGGGAGGCCTGACATGCTGTGGTTCATGAGATTGCAAAGAGTCGGACATGACTGAGCGACTGAACTGAACTTTAAAAGCAATGTCTTTCTTTTTTGTAACCAAAATGTCTCCAAATCAGCATACTGTTTATCAATTCTCCATTGTACAAATGACTAAAGGGTTGATTCTTTGCCATTTATTATTAATGGCTAACACCTACTGTCTTATACCTATACCTATAGGTTTGATTCCTGGGTTGGGAAAATCCCCTGGAGTAGGGGATAACAGTATACCTATAACCTAAAGGTATAGGTATCGAACCTCTATCTACTAAGTTCTCACTCATGAGGTATAATTCTGTGAGTTAAGTACTACTGTTATGCCATTTTGTATGATGGGAAAATGGCTGAGAAAGGTTACATGGCCTGCCTAAGGTCCCACAGTGTTTCAATAGCACAGCCAGGACCTGAACTTTGATTAGTCTGATCCAAGGTGACTATATATATAATACAGCATTTAGTATTTATTTAGGAGATCAAAACAATTAATCTTCATATGTCTACTCTTTATAAAAATAACACATCTACTAATAGTCACTATCTTTGTATAACTAAAAAATGATGAATGACTGCTCTATAACTTTTACACTGAATTAAAAACCAGTTATTTTTGAAAAGACACCATTCATGGAAGGGTGTGCTGGGCTCTCTTGGGAGATGTGCTATTAAAAGAGTAACTCAGAAGGTCTAAATTTAAACATTTAAAAATCACTGTTGTAAGAATATCTCCCATCTAGGGTGGAGAGAATAGTCAACAGGAAGCTATAACACAGGATGGGTAGGGCTCCTCAACAGGAAGAGATATGAAAGAAAGGAAGACAACAGAGAGAGAAAGGGGAAAGTGGAGAAGTTTTTTTGTGCTTCCAGCCACGCCACCCCCAATAAAATGCAAGAGCTTCTGGAATCATTTGCATCTTGTATCAACTACATTATTTAAAGATGAGAAAACAGTGGTAAATCAAGGTTGAAAAATTTACTTGGATATATTATGTTTGCAAATCAAAACTTTATTCTAAAAATTAAATGTGCATATTCTGGAGTAAACATTGCATTTGTTGGGTGCACCTTTACTTCAAATATAAAAATAAGTATTTGCAGGTTAAAAAAATTGGAATATGGCTTGGTCTTGGATTCTGAGTATTTCTGCAAAGGATGGGATAAACACTTAATATTCCTCTTTCCTCTGCATATTTTGCCAAAGATGGGTAACTGGCTTACATTACAGCTTCCCAAGTCTTTAGGAAAGAGTGGAAATTGATGTTGTCTAAATATTAGGAGTGCAAGAATGATCATCAATCCAAATGTTTTTCTTTCCTCAGTTAAGAATCTTTCAGAGCCAAGCACACAGACACCAAGACATCAGGACCCCAAGGCAATTCTTTAAACGTTTAAAACTGATACAGATGATCACCACAAACGCTGGAAAACCACAGGCACCTATCCTCCAACTTCCTACTATCCTCCAATTTCCCTCAATTTCAGCCTGAGCTCTTGATTGTGATTTCTTTCTCTTCCTCATACCCATTTTTTTTTTTGCAAAATCATTCTATCTTGTTCTTCTTGGTATCCTCCCTACTCTAGCTCTTATCTAAAATCAGCATATTAATGCTAGCAATTATCTTGGAGACCTCAGATTAAACCTTCTTCTCTACAGATAAGAACAGAGGCCCAAGGTCCACAAGTTAGTGGAAAAGAGATAAAACTAGAAGCCAGTTTTCTGACTTCCTGCCAAGATAAGATTTGTCTCACTTAATTTTCCATCTATTCACAGCTGTTTAGTAAAACGTCATAAGACATGATTTATCTGGTGAGTTCTCCTCTTCCAGTAGATGCATGTACTTCAATTTCATCAACCACCGCTCTGCAATGAGATTCCTGTCACTCTTTGCCACTATCTACGGCATCTTTGTTTTGAATAAGTTTTGTGTAAGCTTCCTTATGAAGCTTGATGATGATAATGATGCGTCCTCTGCATACATTTCTCCCACCTCACACATCTTACTATGTATCGGTTCTTGTTCTTCAAGGGAGAATCTGCTCCTGTGGGGAGGTGGCTTTCAGACAATTCTGAGTGATTGCTCATTTGTCTACTTCCTTTCTTTCTACCTGAAGGAGATTCTGTGCTTCACCAGAACATTCGCTTCCACCCCTGCAAAGGGAAATAGGGCGCTTTCCTTCCAAAAGATTTCGTAACTCATGTAATCTATCCTGTCCTGGAATTCAAGATGATGTCTGTTTCAGTCAGTATAAGTCTATCTGTGAATACCAACTCAACAGCTTCCAAATAAATAATTATAAGTGAAGGCCAATATTTATTTGGATCAATTCCAAATGAGAATCTTCCTGCTGTAATTTTATTCTCTATGTTAAAATTTTTTTTCATTTAATATTTCCTACTTTAATATAGCCTTTCTATAAAATAAAACCTGAACTGTACTGGATCTGTATCACTATGACCAAAATCAAAGGAATATAAATTTTATAATAATTATTATTTATGACAAAGAATTTCCTTTACCTGGCTAAGAATTTTCATCCCTGAGTGCAACAGCTTTTTCGCAGCTTTATAATAAATCGTCTCTGGTTTGTTGTAAATCATAGCGTTAGTACACATTAGTTTGAAGTTATCCTGGAGAGAAAACATTAGGGAGGAATGCATTAAGACAAAACAAAGCACCCTCATGTCCTGGTCTGAAATCACCCAGGTCCTCAAAAAATTCAAAACAACAACCATCAAACAAACAAAAACAAACCAATAAAAAAACACCGTCTTCCCTTTTGTTTACTACACAGCATTAATAGCAATTTATTAAGTTTTAAAACAAAACTGCTAAATTAAACATCCTACTACATTCCTTTACAAATTCTTAAACATTCTATAGTAACTGCATAAACTTTAGATTCTGAGATAAAATTTTAAAATGGGTTTCTTCAGTATAATCTTATTGCACACAAAGAGAATTAGAAAATACTTCTATCTTACATTTAATAATTACTGAGTATAAATCCTTAGTTTAAAAACAAAGAATTATCCATTAATGAATTAAATATTTTATTTTGGATCTTGACTGAAAACTGGGACAATGCTAAATTATCATCACAATATTTCCTACCATAGTCAAATTAACCGAGCAAAAGTGGCAAAACATTTACACTAATTTTCTTTCAAGTGTTTGGATACTATTATAAGCTAAATATAATTTGCAGAATGTTACAAAATCATGCCAACCTGAAATAAACCATACAACTTCAAAGACTTACAACATGTAACCAGAGTAGGCAGACTATCAAAATTGTACTTTTGGTTTAAATTTCAAAGTATGCACATGTGCTAGGGAACTCAATTCCACTGCATATTTTCATGGTTAAGTAATTTTTACATTGTATAAATGTGAGAGTGATTATGCCAAGGCTTTACTAAATAAAAATGATAAAAACTCAACAAAAAAGAATCTGGTCCTCAATCTCCTCTGAATTTAAAACATTTAAGCCCCACTATTTAATAACTAGTGATGACAGCTCAGAACATTTAATGTAATGAAAATAGGTAGACTGAATATTATTTAAAAGTACATGAGAAGACTGAGTCAAGTGTCACAATAAATTTGGTATTAAATTTAACACAGATGAAGTATATGTGGATGCTCAGTTCTTGGCCAAGTCTCTATAATCAGTTAGGATTTTGTTAAGTCATCATCTCTAGGAATCTGAGGAAAGCTATGGATCCACTCCTCAAGCACACACATGTAATATAAAGGTGAACACAAAATTTTCCTGTAATTTTATAAAATTCCTGATCTCTCTAAAGGCTCATCCAAGGCTACCCAAAGGACCCCATGTTCAGAACCTTTACTACAGATATTCTGAAAAGCTTCCATTCCATTATTATTAAATTATTAAATATATTATTATTATTAAATATATATTTGGGGAAGGACAGGCAAATGAGGGGAGACAAACTAGATGACTACTACACTAAATGACCACTGGTCCTATAACTAGAAAAAGTACTGGATCATCCTCCAGATCACAGGTCTGATCTGTTACTTCATGAATCTTTTAAAAAATTGTTTATTTATTTAGTAACATTTTTTGGCTTGCTGGGTCTTTGTTGGTTGCTGCGCGGGCTTTTCTCTAGGTGCAGTGAGCAGGGGCTACTCTCTAGTTGTGATGCATGGACTTCTTAGTGCTGTGGCTTCCCCCTACAGAGCACAGGCTCAACAGCTGTGCACCGGCTTAGCTGATCTACGCCATGTGGGATCTTCTCGGATCAGGGATTGAACCTGCATCTCCTGTCCGATCCCTGGGTTGGGAAGATCCTCTGGAGAAGGGAAAGGCTACCCACTCCAGTATTCTGGCCTGGAGAATTGCATGGACTATAAGTCCATGGAGTCGCAAAGAGTCAGACATGACTGTGTGACTTTCACTTTCACTCCTCCACTGGCGGGCAGGTTCTTTACCACTGAGGCTCCAGGGAAGCCCTATTATTCCATGAATCTTAACTGTCATGTGCTAGACTTTACTGGATTTTTCTGTAATGGCAGTTGTTTGTTCATAAAGTTGAATGACCTTTCTGCATACTTCCAAGTATTAAAAAAAAAAAAAAACCCCTCGAACAGCTTAATGAGTTGGATAAGCTAATTAAACATTACATGGGGCTATTGAATTTTCCTGAGGAAAAAATACAGCTCTACAGAAAACTCCAAGTTAAAAATACTTGTTCACTTTAATTATGATAAATCTTGACCATTTGCTCAGAAACACTTAGTGGGCATACTTGTACTCTCTCTTGTCATTGTAAGGGAAAGATCAAAGGAAAACTTCACAGAAAGGGAAAAAAACTGAAAAATTTTCCATTAATCAATAAGATCAGAAACATGCTGAAATAAACAGTTTTAGCTTAATTTTCACCAGATGAAAAGTTGAGAAAAATTTTCGTTTCTCTGAATACAAGAGTATATAATTCAGGTTTTTCAGAGTGAAATATACATTCAAACTGATAGGAAAGACAGAACTAAATGCTAGTATCATTCATAAAATTCAGCTAATCAATATGTATAAAAAAAAGAGACCAAGTAAAGATAACATTTACTGTCTTATTTTCCTTCTATAAATGATTAGGGTCTAGCCCTTCGGTCAAGTGAGAACACTACAATGTTATTCAGGAAAAAAACAAAGGTAGTAAAGTAATGCTTAAAATTCTCCAAGCCAGACTGCAGAATACGTGAACCGTGAACTTCCAGATGTTCAAGTTGGATTTATAAAAGGCAGAGGAACCAGAGATCAAATTGCCAACATCCACTGGATCACTGAAAAAGCAAGAGAGTTCCAGAAAAACATCTATTTCTGCTTTATTAACTATGACAAAGCCTTTGACTGTGTGGATCACAATAAACTGTGGAAAATTCTGAAAGAGATGGGAATACTAGACGACCTGACCTGCCTCTTGAGAAACCTGTATGCAGGTCAGGCAGCAAGAGTTAGAACTGGACATGGAACAACAGACTGGTTCCAAATTGGAAAAGGAGTACATCAAGGCTGTATATTGTCACCCTGCTTATTTAACTTATATGCCGAGTACATCATGAGAAACGCTGGGCTGGAAGAAGCACAAGCTGGAATCAGGATTGCCGGGAGAAATATCAGTTAACCTCAGATATGCAGATGACACCACCCTTATGGCAGAAGGTGAAGAAGAACTAAAGAGCCTCTTGATGAAAGTGAAAGAGGAGAGTGAAAAAGTTGACTTAAAGCTCAAAATTCAGAAAACTAAGACCATGGCATCTGGTCCCATCACATCATGGCAAACAGATGGGGAAACAGTGGAAACAGTGGCTGACTTTATTTTTATGGGCTCCAAAATCACTGCAGATGGTGACTGCAACCATGAAATTGAAAGACGCTTAGCAAAGCTATGATCAACCTAGACAGCATATTGAAAAGCAGAGACATTATTTTGCCAACAAAGGTCCGTCTAGTCAAGGCTATGGTTTTTCCAGTGGTCATGTATGGATGTGAGAGTTGGACTGTGAAGAAAGCTGAGTGCCGAAGAACTGATGCTTTTGAACTGTGGTGCTGGAGAAGACTCTTGAGAGTCCCTTGGACTGCAAGGAGATCCAACCAGTCCATCCTAAAAGAGATCAGTCCTGGGTGTTCATTGGAAGGACTGATGTTGAAGCTGAAACTCCAATACTTTGGCCACCTGATGCGAAGAGCTGACTCACTGGAAAAGACCCTGATGCTAGGAAAGATTGAGGGCAGGAGAAGGGGACGACAGAGGATGAGATGGTTGGATGGCATCACTGACTCAATGACATGGGTTTGGGTGAACTCCAGAAGTTGGTGATGGACGGGGAGGCCTGGCGTGCTGTGGTTCATGGGGCTGCAAAGAGTCGGACACAACTGAGCGACTGAACTGAACTGAGAGTAGACACTGTTTAAACCACTTGAATTTGTGGTAGTTTGGTACAGAGCAGATTAAAAAAGAAAACGCACGGCTCCTTTTCTTAGGATGATTAAAATGAAAAGCTTAACTCTGAAACCAGCATATACACCAATACACATATCTATTCAAAGATAGAAGAACGTCAACTATAACATTAGGCATATGAATCATCTTCGTGGCTTGTAGGTTCTTTATTTGTAATTTTAAAATTTTTTATTGCTGAATGTTGAAGAAAATATGCTAAAAAAATACAGCCAAAGTGAGTTCAGGGAGCAACTCACTTTCACCAAGCTAGAAAACGTAATTAAACTTCTGCTTGGTATTTCTAGACAAGCCAATTTATTCTCTATTTTACATGTCTAGAAACAGAAAAAGAAACTACTCTAAGTCAACTTCCATTAAAACACTGACTTTATTCAATATTTTGTAAAAATCTATAGAAAAAAAAAATACATAGCCAAATCACTTTGTGATACACCCGAAACCAGTAAAACTTTATAAATCAACTATACTTCAATTAAAAAACAATCAATTTTACCTGTATTCATCTGAAATTTAAAATCAAACATTTTCGTTTTAAAGGTTGAGAAAATATTTCATAGAACACATGAATTTCAAAGTTTTACCAAAACCCACAAAATACTGAAGACAGCAGATGACTTATTTTGTCTGGTTTTCTATCACCAAGCTCAAACATGTTTTCTAAGACAAAAAAAAAAAACAGATTTTGGACATTAAAATAAACTTGAGAATGATTCTGAATACCAGACATACAGATTTCTACATAGACTTCCCATACACAGGATCCAAAAGTCTGCCTCTCAATTGAACAGAAACGTTATTTTGTAGCATAGCTCAGTCTATTCTCCAATACAACATAAATCATAAGTTACCTTCAGTTCTTCTATGGACTGGTAATCATTGTTCTTGATCTTTTCTTTCATGGTACTAAAATCCATTGGGTGTTTAATGATCATGGAGTAGCCAGGGGCAATAAAATCAGTCACAGGAAATGAAAAGAAAGCACTTGGGTCTTTTCTGTGAAGACAGGAAAAAAGCAATTTTATTTCTACTACAAACAAAACTACTGGTCAAGGAGTATTAAGTCAGAGGAAATCCTTCAGATGTACAATTTGTAGCAGGCTAATATGTTTTTCACTAAAAACTGAAGTAATGATTTTAAAGACTAATAACTATTTAATAAGGTTCAGATGCTTAACATATAATTGTACCCTTAAGACAGAATCTTTTAAAATATGCAGCTTAATTAATTCGCAACATCTCCAACACAGGGAAAGATGAAACAAAATAAGAAATCTAGCCTAACTAAAAAATGTCTTGTACTCTGGGAGATTAATACTATGTATTTTTTATTAACCATAGAGAAAAAGCAGAAATAGTAACTAAAGTGCACATCTGCAGTCTTCCACCCGGGTTTCTAAGTAGGCTTGGACTCTTGGTGGGCCACAGAGCTGCTGTATCCTCCTGAGTACAGCTAGCCCTCTGTATCTGTGGGCTTCCCAAACGTGGATATAGAGCTGACTGCTCACTGGACTGCTGCCAGTTGAGCATCCCTGGATTCTGGTACCCATGGGGGCTCCTGGAATCAATCCCCTGGGGATACCAAAGGACAACCATATATATTTTCTTAAATTAATGGGTATAACTTCTATCATGTGTGTAGAGGACTGCTCAAAAAATGGACATTAAAAAGATTATCATAATACCTCCAAACTTGAGACCCAGTGCTTTCTATCATAGGTTCTTAACTCTGGCTGTGCACAAGAATCATGAGAGGAGCTTTAAAAAGAATTCTGGTGTGGTGGGAGGCTAACCCTAGACCCACTACATGCAACTCTCTTGGGGGAGGAAGAGTGGTCCAGGCACTAGTTTTTCTAGGGTTGAATTTTGGTACTTACAGGATAGATAGAGTTGAAAACCACTGCTCTATATAATTAGTTCATTAGACTGTTATTTCCCTCTGGAAATTTGGCATATCAAAGCTTTCTTATTCCAAATAATCACAGCATTAAAATGCTTAAGAAGTCATAATAGCAGCAGCAATTTAAAAAATAAATTTACCACATGTCAGGCACAGTGGTAGGGAATTGATGTATTTTATATTTAACGCTCACAAAAGCCATCAAGGAGCTGGTATCCTCACTTAGAGATGAGGATACTGAGGCTCAGAGGTCAAATCATTTGTTTTAGGTCATAAATCTGATAAAACAGAGTCATAATCTGAACTCAGGTGTGTGTATCTGCCTTGGTTCTTCCCAGCAGGACACCAGCAGTTAGAGTAAAAAATACTGAGAGTAAGTAAAAATGTCCAGTTTGGAACTTACAGATCCAAATGCATACTGTCCATAGAAGTTACTTGAATAACACCACGAAGCATCTCTGGAGGACCTCTTCAGAGCAAATTATCTACACTCCCTAAAATTAGTCATTTTAACATAGAGTCCGACTTGGTTTGACCAAAGATGCTATTACTAAACCTGGTCAATTACACTCTTTTCCAGTATTTGCACTGAGCCTCAAGATCAAGAATCACTAAGGCTATTCAATAAAAATATGGCTCTGAGTTCTAATTCCCATAATGTTCTGAGCAATGTGAACATTCTCAGACTGAGAGAGACTCTGATAAGTAGGTTTCTCTCACGGAGACATCATTAACTTATATTCCAGTCTTACACTGCAAGAAACAAAATTAAAAGGTAGCCAAACACTTTATAGTCAAAAATTCTAACTGAGTTGGAATGCTCAATGCTTACCTGTTCACTCCTTTGGGACAAGCAATGAATGATTTATTCAAGTGTAAAGACTTGAGATGTAAATTTCTTAACTGTTCTTTAACACCAAAAAAGGAAGATAGGTCACTGATTTCTGATTTTCACTGTAAAACTGAATAGGTGCTGCATACAGATAGCTTTATTTTTAAAAATATTTATGATAAGTTTTGGGGTTGACATATAAGTCCAACACAGTAAGAAGAAATCTCACTATATGAACGCATGCCCTATATCCATGAATCCTCTGCTAATAATGTAGATGTCTTTGGGCTAAAACTTTAAATTGAGTGAACTGAGGTATCAAAATAAATATTTTAATAAGGATCAAGTTATTCTTTTCTCTTTTAAGAACTTCACATTGGTTTTATCAAGATACTATAATTTTTAGAACAAACTACTGAATTTAAGACAGGGTTACAAATCTTATTTATGGTATTTTGTTTCTTCTCCCAGACTTGGTAATTAGTGAACACTCACAGCAGTGATAAGCAGCACAGACATATAGAAGGTGTTTTGATCTATTAGCAAATGGAAATACCTGTATTGTTTAATCCTGGTTTAAAGCTTTAATATCAGAAATTACTTTAGATTAAGGAAAGATCTGCCATTAAGAGGATTATGTAACACTCTTCAAGCTGCCAGTTAAAACAAACCAAATGAGAACATCTAAAAGTCAGCCTCTTGGAGTACTTCTATTGCCAGGCAAAATATTTATCATCCACTTTAAAATCAAGTACATTTGGATACAGGCCACAAAATGTGATTTGAAATAATAATAATAAAAAGAAGTGGTTTGGATCCTCTATTTCCCATTTCAATTTCCATGTTGTAAAAATGCTCGGAAAAAAATTCACCTCTGCAGTTGTCTCATCAGTTGATTCAAAGCTTCTTGAAGAGGTGTCTGTTCTACTTCTAAAGCAAAGAAGAAAGAGTGTTTTAAAAGAGAAGATTCTGTATTGTTTAGCTTATTTTCTATACATGACTTATCTCATACCCATCATTAAATTATCTCATACAGAAATTCCATTTATTTTTCAAATATGCTGAAGTAAGAGAACAACAAGTTTGAAACAGAAATTAACTTAAAGTTCTTAAGCAGTGATATAAGAAAATGTAAACAAATTTTAACTTAACAGCTTTTAAATTTTTAACTTTCCCTGGCTAACATCCTTAAAATAATTTAAGCTTCCTCATTCAGGACAGTTAATTCAGAGTTATTCCAACCTTCTTGTTTGGCTAAAGAACTTGCAAGAGGCTTCTCAGGAGGCAAGTCTAATCCTACAGGGGCCTGACACTGTAGGTCTTTTTCTACCTCGATATCCACATGGTCACGATCTCGCCTTCTTTTATCCTCCTAGATGGAACAAAAAGAGAGAAGTTAGAAATACTTCAGAATTGATTCCTTTAAAACAAATCATTTAATTTCAGTGGAAAAAAATACGATGACACCGAAGCTTATTAATAATGAAATCTTATTGTTATTTTATGTTATTTTACTGCCATCTACTGGGAAATAAGAGAATACCATGTTCATAAATGGGGGGGAAAGTGCTTCTATATGCTAGAATTAACTAATTAGAAAAATAATACTATTCATAAAAGTAAAATAATATACCAGGACTAAATCTAATAAAAGATGACCAACTATCTTTTAGGAAAAATTATGAAACATTATTGAAAGGCCATTGTGAAAGACCTGAATAAAGGAGATATACCATGTTCATGAACTGAAAGACAGACAGTTTGCTCCAAAGTAATCTATAAATAAAATGCAAAGCCTATCAAAATTGTAAGACAGGATTTTCCATGAAATTTGACAAGTCAGTCATATAATTTATCTTGAAGAGTGAATCATCAGTACAGTCAGAACAGTTTTGAAAAAGGTCACAATAAAATGTGTGCTATCAGTTTGTACAAAGTGACAAGACAATGTGGGTCTGACACAAGGACAAACAGACCTATGAAACAGAGACCAGAGCACAGGGACAGACTTGTGCACATAGAAAAGTCGTGATAGATCAGAGTGGCACGCTAAATCAACGACAAAAGGGTAGTGCTGGGACAACTGGTTATCTATATGAGATTAGAGCTCTACCTTATACCACATGCAAAAGTAAATTTTAGATACATTAAAGAATTAATTTTAAAACTTGACATAAAGTAAAAGAATCTTTATGACTTAAGAATAGGGAAAGATTTTCTTATCTATGAAACTAAAAGACTAGCTACTGACTGAGAAACACAAATAAATCAAAATATTAGCAAAGATTACACAAAGTGCATCTACAAATTCATATAAAAAGGCAAATAACCCAACAGAAAATGGGTAAAGGACATCACAGGTAAGCCCCAGAAAAACACCTAGAAATGTCAAGAAACATGAAAACTAGCTTCAAGATACCTGGAACTCTGGGAATTCTGAATTTAAAAACTGGAAGGTATTTCACATCTCTCTGAGTGATAAAAATTAAAATGTCTGAAAATGTCAAGTTTTGAAAAAAATGTGGAGAAATAGGGCTCTCATACCTTGCAGTGCATGTGTGTGTGCTAAATCGCTTTAGTCGCATCTGACTCTGTGTGACCCCATGGACTGCAGCCCACCAGGCTCCTCTGTCCATGGGGATTTCCCAGGCAAGAATACTGGAGTGGGTTGCCATTTCCTTTTCCAGGGGATCTTCCTGAGCCTGGGACTGAACCTGCGTTTCCTGCACTGGCAGGCGGATTCTTTACCAATGACCCACCAGGGAAACCCACAACAACCTTTTACCCTGCTTCTCAGTGACTCTGCTCCTGGGCATATACCCTAGACAAACTTCCTTTCACAACGGTACATGAAGACATGCACAAGACTATTTACTTCAGCACTCTGTGAAATAGTAAAAAATTAGGAACTTACGAAAAGAAAAATGCTACTAAAAGGAAATAGATTAATAAAATATGGCATATTTACATAGCAGGTAAAATTAATAGGCTAAAGTTACATTGTATCAGCATGTACTATGTTTAGAAACAATTTCTAGAGGAAAAAGTTGAGAATTGTTACAAGATCAGCTATGTTAAGTTTTGAAAATATATAAAGTGTACTTTACAAATATACACAGAAGTAGTAAAATTATAAAACAAGTTTACATGTGATACATACCAAATTCATAGTTCTCTTTAGGGAATGAGGAAGAGGAATGGATTCTGGGAGGAACACAGAAAGCTTCATTGGTGTCTGTACCCTGATATCTTTTAAAAAACATAAAACCAAGCAAAAAGCAAAATGTTATGTTTTGCTAAAGCTGAATGGTTGGCATCCAGGTAATAGTTTAAAAAAAAAAATCCTGTTTTTTGCATCTTAAAAATTCAATTTTAGAGTAAAATTGCCCCAAACTATCTATTTTACACTCCTGAGATTCAAGATTCTCAACAGGATTTTATTTTCTTGGTCTACATCCTAATTTCTTATTCTAGTATCCAGAGTGGTGGTTCTCAAAGTGTGGTTCCCAGACTAGCAACATCAGCACTATCTGGGAAATTACTAAAAATGCAAATTCTGAGGTCTCATGAAGGTTCTCAAGCATCAGCGTGCATCAGAATCATTTAAGTCTTGTTAGAACACTAGTGATTAGGTCCTGTCCCCAGAATTACCGATCCAGTGGGTCTAGTGTAGTCTGCGAATCTGCATTACTAACAAGTTTCTAGGTTATGTGGCTGTTGCCCATGCAGGATCACACTTGGACCATCAGTGATTCAGAGCTTCACATTTTCTATAGTCCAAAGCATTTAATACAGAAAATATGACTGGCTGAAGCTCCAGAGAACAATGTTATAAACTATATTTATATTTATAAATATAAACTATATTTATATTTACTGTTCACTTGAAGTCAATTTCCATTAAGTTGACTGGTGTCTTTTTTTATGGCCCTATGACATATTCTGGAGCAGTAATTTTTGACTCAGGGAAGTTTTGTATCTTTCTCCCCATAAAAACTGGCATTAATCTTTTGTAGGTTGGCAGGTTTTGAACATCTGTTCAATGGAAAAAGACCTCAGAGACAAGATCTCTTCCTGTTAAATGTCAACAGTGGAAAATGGACAGACTGAAAGGCAATTAAACATCTCCTAGATGGAAAGAACTAAGGCCATAGTGCAAAAAGTCTAGAGTAGGGATTGGCAAACTTTTTTGGTGAACAGCCAGGTAACATATAATTAAGGCTTTGTGGTCCATAATGTCAGTGACAACTATTAATATTAACCTTTGCCAGTATAGCAAGAAAGCAGCCACAGACAACATAATGGGTGTGGCTGTGCTCTAATAAAACTTAATTTACAAAATCAAGTGGTGTTGGCTCTAGTTTGCTGACACATGGTCTAGAGGCTCAAGTTCTTGCTCTAGCTTCATCTTTAACACACTTTGACCTTCTTAGGCACCTAGGCCTCTTTATCAGCTGCAAGATAGAGATTCAACTGTTGATTTTTATTTATCTTACAGAGTTTACGAGATGGTGAAATGACCATGAAACAGAAAAGCTGAAAAAGTACCAAAGGAAGGTATTATGTTTCTGAACTACCCCTATCTGGTAACCTCATCTAGTTAGCCTGGTCTACAGTAAGCACTTTACTATTTGGTATGGCAAGAGAATATAGCCTTCTGGGCTAGAGTCCAAAAGAGAAAAAGAATATAAATAACATATACTTGGAAACTACCCTAAAGTGAAAGGAGATATTGTAACATGTTATTAGAAGTTAGGAGATCTAGCTTCTCATTTACTAGAACGTAAACTTGAACAAGTTCTTCTACTGCTTCAGTCTCGGTCTCACCTATAAAACAAGAGGCTTTGATCTCTACACTTCTTTCTCCACCTAACACTCTGATAATTCCTACCTTCCAATTTTCTTTTTCATGATTCCAAAATACTACAGAATCCAATTGTTAACGTCACTTACTGAAAGTAAGATATGTAAAACCAGAAGTTAATACAGTTCTGGTTGATACAGTGTATTTTGCTAATTACACAGAGAAAACTAAACAAAAATACTAAAGCCACTTAACTTCAGGTAGGAAGGTTTATAATTACAGTTTATAAAATGGGTTCAAATTCTGGCTTTGTCACTTATTAGCTATGAGGTCATGGAGTAACTACATAAGGTGGAGCAGGGGCCTAATTTCCTGGTTATTAAAAATAGACAGAATAATATATACAATATATACCTTAGAAGCTTGTTTTAAGGATTAAATAAGTGTATGTGAAATTTTAGCACAGTGCCTACACATGGTAAATATTCATTCATGCATTCAGTAAATAAATGGCGTTCTACTCTGCGGACACACACTGGTGGATAAACACACACAGCCCTGCCCTTAGGAAGCTGACAGTGTAAAATGAGGCAGACATTAAACAACTTGGTAAAAAAAAAATGCAAACAGATTTCAAGGACAGAGTAACTGCTGGATGAGTCTAATTTAGAACTGGAGAAGTGTGGGAAAACTTCTATGAGGAAGAAGCATTTGAGCTAAGATCTGAAGGAGGGAATTTAGCCAGGTTGGGGGTGGAAGTCAGGGTGGAGGTGTAAGAGTAAATATTCTGTGTGTATGAAGGTCTGAGGCAGAAGAGAGAAATAGCAGCTATTTCTGTAACTACAAACACACTGCACTTATATCAAACTGGATTCCTATTTATCCATGACTCAATGGTAAGTTATTTTATTAATTTGTAACACTTCTGAAGTAAATCTTTGCTCATATTATTAATACTAGCTCACTGCACTATATTACAGATAGACATGCTTGCCTGTTTCACTGGAGTTCCTGGTGGGGAGGGAGGGGTTCAAGTGTTATTCAGCTCTCTACCCCCAACCTCAATACATATTTGTAGAATTAATAAACCATAAGAGATAGCATGAAGAAGGAACAAGAAAGCATGAAAATTACCAGCTGAAGTTCTAGGTATTATCCTTCAGATTGGTCACTTTTCAGAAGATGTATAGATAGATATCTGGGCTTTCTTCGTGGTTCAGATGATAAAGAATCTGCCTGCAATGCAGGAGACTCAGGTTCCATCCCTGGGTCAGGAAGATCCCCTGGAGAAGAGAATGGCAACCCACTCCAGTATTACTGCCTGGAGAATCCCATGGACGGGGAGACTGGCAAGTTAACAGTCCATGGGGTCACAAAGAGTCATACACGACTGAGACTTCCAGAACAACAACAACATACATAGGTATTGATGTTAGTCGCTCAGTCGTGTCCGATTCTTTTTGACCCTGTGAACTACAGCCCTCCAGGCTCCTCTGTCCATGGAATTCTCCAGACAGGAATACTGGAGTAGGCAGCCAATCCTTCTCCAGGGGATCTTCCTGACCCAG